ATCCCATAGGAAAGTGAAAAGTATGCTGCAGACCTGCCGCAGACCTGCCGCAGACTTTTAGTCTGCGGCAAAGAGTATGCCGAAGTATGCGGCAGAAAGAAATTTTGCTGCAGACTTGCCGCATACCAGTATGCCACAGGAACAGTCTGCGGCAGATCTGCGGCAGGATGAAATTTTGCTGCAGACTTGCCGCATACTAGTATGCCACAGGAACAGTCTGCGGCAGATCTGCGGCAGGATGAAACTTTGCTCCAGACTTGCCGCATACTAGTATGCAACAGGAACAGTCTGCGGCAGATCTGCGGCAGGATGAAATTTTGCTGCAGACTTGCCGCATACTAGTATGCCACAGGAACAGTCTGCGGCAGATCTGCGGCAGGATGAAACTTTGCTCCAGACTTGCCGCATACTAGTATGCCACAGGAACAGTCTGCGGCAGATCTGCGGCAGATCTGCGGCAGGATGAAATTTTGCTGCAGACTTGCCGCATACTAGTATGCCACAGGAACAGTCTGCGGCAGATCTGCGGCAGGGCGAAACTTTGCTCCAGACTTGCCGCATACCAGTACGCCACAGGAACAGTCTGCGGCAGGTCTGCCACAGGAAATCCCATTAAAGTCTAATAGGGCCAATTGAAACCAATCATCTCATGCATATTCATTATTACTTTACACGTGTGACAGAAAAATACATTTATCATGATTTGTTAAGCAAATTAAGACAATGCACATCATTTTTGTGATTTCTATTTTTCTTTTGCCATTATTAACCAATAGATTATTTTGTCTGATCATGTTACAATTACATTCACGTTTAAGCAATAGATATATTGATTACTAACCAAGAAACTATGATACCTAACCAAGAAACAATATACATATTTAGTATATATATGTGTACGAGCCTGTGTCACTTTAAATGTTACTCTTGAATACACTTCAAATGATCAATGTGATGAAGTTAATACAATTGACAATAGAATATACATATTGGTATTACCTAATTGGTAATATCGATATTGCCAATATTGATTATGAAGTATCAATCAGTTTATCACTGGTTCTTCTACATGCATACCTTATTGCCACATACTGGATATGAAAGAGTATGCGGCAGGTCTGCAGCAGGTCTATATGAGATATGAATATTCATGACGAAGAGTCTGCGGCAGACCTGCCGCAGACTCTTCATCATACTGAAAGAGTATGCGGCAAGTCTGCGGCAGACCTGCCGCAGACTCTTCATCATACTGAAAGAGTGTGCGGCAAGTCTGCCGCAGACCTGCAGACTCTTCATCATAATGAAAGAGTATGCGGCAAGTCTGCAGCAAGTCTGCGGCAGACCTGCCGCAGACTCTTCATCATACTGAAAGAGTATGCGGCAAGTCTGCGGCAGACCTGCCGCAGACTCTTCATCATACTGAAAGAGTATGCGGCAGGTCTGCAGCAAGTCTGCCACAGACTCTTCATCATACTGAAAGAGTATGCGGCAAGTCTGCGGCAAGTCTGCGGCAAAACTAATTTGCATGTGAAAAAGATGACTGTCTGCGGCAGGTCTGCTGCAGATCTGCGGCAAGTCTGCCGCAGGAGTATGCGGTAGGCTCATTTCTTTCCTATGGGATGAAATCAACATAAACACACCAGCATTCCAATCCATGGGCTTAACGGATAAAAGAGTATGAAGAAAATAAGAATAACATAACATAGCGCGCACTGAATCCAAGTCTTACTTGGGTTCCAAGCAGGTCCTATTTTTCGCCATCGTGTTGTTGTAGTTTTGGTTTATAGACGTTTATCATTCAGAAGTGAATATGTACAGGTGTGTCGAGTAGTCTACTCACAAGTAACTTTGATGTTTAGATACGCGAAATCTCTTTACAGAAGTAAAATTTGAAGCTCGCATTGTGAATATAGTATTACGACATGGAACTACCAACATACAGAACAAAATAATATTTGGTGATTGATACCCTTGTGGATCCCCATTGAAAGACAGCATTCATGTTGATCATAGGGTGCGTTCAAGTGATTTTTTTAAGCTAGAATCTCAAACATGAATCACAAATCAAAACGCCGTTAAAAAACATGGTTACTGCGGGAGAGCGTTCAAGCGATTTTTCATCAACGCTGATACTTGCTCATTTTTGAAGCCCAGCCACTGCTCATCACACTGCGCAGTTTGACCCAGGAAGTATAGGTCAATTTTGCATCGTGCTTTTTTAATTTGTGTAGGGTCGACTGTCTGCCAAACCTGGAAGCGGGCCACGATAATGACGTTATAGAATCATGATTGAGATCCTGTTGCGTTCAAGCGATTTATAGCGACAGTGATTCTGTAGAATCACGATACAAAATGCATCTTTTTCAGCATTTCATGTTTGAACACATATATTTTTGCGACCAACGAAAAATCGCCTGAAATCGCTTGAACGCAGCTGTGTTTTAAACTAAATGTCTTAAAAAACCGTGTTTCTAGGGTGAAAAAGTGTCGCTTGAACGAACCACTAGTGTATCATCCCACAAGTGGTAAATAAATAAATAAATAAACACTTTAAGAATCCTCCTGTGCATCACAATACTCAACATCTACTAATTGAAACTAATAGCTGCATGGGTTCACAGTATACAGTACGAAGAAAGCTGAAACACTTGCAACAGGAAACATTCACAAGTTACCATGACAGCTATTTCTGGGGCAAGAACTTTGAAGAATTACAAACACATCACATTGTTTAATATGATTCAATCTCATCTATTACTTTGCAGGATGAAAACGTAACAAACTTCAATCATTTGAAGAAATCACGAAGAATTATGCACACAAATAGACAGCACTACGCTAAAATGGTTCATGACAGGGATAACAGATTTTGTATTTCTGATATTCATGAAATAACTAACATAATAATCATTATAAAATTATGTAGCTTCATTTCATTATGTACCATGTCAATAAATACAAAGAGCCCATGGCTTTTGAAGAAAAAACTGAATACAAGCTTATAACATCCCTTACTACAGTGTATGAAGTAAAAATGGAAAAAAAAAGAAATTGCAGAAAATGTATATCCTATAGCTCACTATTCAAACCGTATACCATCCAATTTTGGAAGAATGTGCAATATATTGACAGAAATATTTTAACACATACAATAGCTATGAATGAGGTTCTGAATACTAGCTCTAATTTGCAAGACTCCTTAAGGTAAGAAAAGCCATCAGTTGGCTCCAAATTGTTGTGATGTCTGACTATATGCATGCGATTTGGTCTTCACTTCAACTAGAAGACTTTCAATGGATATTCAAATTGTTATTTTCAGTATTCAACCATTCCCCAGAACCTAAATCAGGAAAATAACATTGTTTGAACTTCAATATCCAATGCAATTGCAATTTCTTTAAAAAAAAGGGTTGAGGGTGCTTTTATAAAGTGTGCTTGGGGCTTAATAGATCTATAATGGCATTTTGCTTTGAATACCCAAAGTCCAACAATAAATAGGGCAGTATTAAACAATTACTGAAGACAAGCAATACGACAACCCTGAATATGAGCAAAATACTGAAGAGTAGAGAAAACGTGGTAAATATCTATTGAATACACTGTATTTGAAAATATATAAATAGGCGTGACCGTAGCGCATTCACGTAGGACTCGGTAAACCATGGCAGGGTTCTGTTTTCAATATGGTGGATTCGCAACCCACAACAGACACAAACAAAAACTTTTTACACAGAGTATAAGCTCGTCTGGCTCTTGACAGGCTATATACATGTACCTCTCTGTACATCATGCCTCTGGCATATAAAAGTGAAAGTTCAGAAAAAATGGAATGTTGCAGAAAAAAAGAAGCACAGTAAACAACATATATTTCTAATACTTAGTTTCATCAAGGAAGTGATGTGGAAAATAAATTATGTGATACACAAAATATGTTGAATATCTTAGAGTAGCTCTTTTCATTTAAAACTTATACATTGTAGCATTAGACCATGTTACTGTAATTCAACATGTACCTTTTTCCTGTATCTTGTACAGTTAATTCTATTAACAACTCACTGAGGAAGCTGTACTACAAATACTTTGCTATATTCACAAATGTTGACTTTCTGCTGAAGTACTAAACAGATGACACAAGATGATTTAACAAGGTTTGTTATCGAGGTAAATATATCAATTCAATGATATTTGCACAAAAAATATCGCATTGTTTTCTAGTACCAAAAAACAAGGTGAAAAATAGATAAATAAAACACTGCAATTGTCTCAAGGCTTTTTCTCAGGTGGGGACAAATACTGTTCACATACGGTATTATTTACCTTCATCGTTCTCCCATCCATGATCTATAGATAATTTTAATGTACACGTACCTTTGGCACTAGCTATGAAATATTATTTTATTTATTTATTATTTGATTAAGTATATTAATATAAATGCAAAATCGCAAAGTATACTATACAATGCATATTATTTGTGTAGTAAATTCAGCCCATGATATAACATGCAGCAAAGGTCCAATGAAAAGTATTTTAATTCACACAATTATTTCTTGGCGATGATCACAGAACACTTTTATATTTTGATTACAGTTACATTCCATCAATGTACAATCATTGCACGTATCAAATATAATTTTGTACAACTACTATTCAATTGAAATGAATGAATAACCTCATAATTAAGAAAGAATGTCTACGATTTTGATAATGCTTTTGATACAGCAGTAAAACATACCAGAGACACAATTGCAAAATATTTCAGTTGAAATATATCATTTGTGCCAATATCCAAATATTTGTCTACATTTAAAAAAAAAGAGGCAAAACCTAATGTGACATCTGTGAGATACTGTTATATCAATGTTTCACTCATTCATGTCCATGATGTAATGAAGTGTAGTACAGTCAAACCTGCTTTAGTGACCACCTGTCTACAAAGACCACTTTTTATGATTCCCTTGAAAATGGTTTCTCATTGAAACATGTACTAAAAGAACCTGTCTACAAAGTCCACTTTTTGTGTTTCCCTAGGGCGGTCGCTATAGACAGGTTTGACTGTATATATATTATAATCATAAATGAATTTGAATGATCACATATGCATGATGAGAATGGGCAGCTTATTCAAATCCCTCCTATTTCTAAATTGATATTATTATTATTATTTTTTTTTAAATCTAAAGCAAGAACTCGCAGGAGCTGCTGGAAGAATTTTGTCCCCATTCTTGTCAAAACTGGAGTTGTCAACAGTGTTGAAGACAATCATGAATGACAAAAAAAAACACAGTACCCTAGCTCACACTAGTACATCTTATCCTACCATGATGGCAAAATATCACATGACATGTCACATGCATGAGTCACCTGATAGATACCTGATGATCACATGACAGAGCAGACAGAACTCCCAGCAGCTTGTGTTCTCTTGGACATGCCAGACTTGGCCACTCTCCTCTTGATACCTGCAGGAAAACAAGAGATCAATAAATACCAGTAAATTATTAGGATCGCTGGCAATTATGCAACATTTTGAGAAATTACATATGTCCACATTCAATAATTATCTCTTGGACTATCACCCCCAAGGATACTACTTCTAGGAAACCTACCACTAGGACAAGCACCACTAGGACAATTACCACTACTACAATCACCACTAGGACAATTACCACTACGACAATCCCCACTAGGACAATCACCACTACGACAATCCCCACTAGGACAATCACCACTAAAAAAATTACCACTAGGAAAATTACCACTAGGACAATTTCCACCAGAACAACTTCCTCTAGGACGTTTATCACAAGGACAACTTACAACTTCCTCTAAGACAATTTCCTGAAGGAAAATTACCACTAGGACAACTACCACTAGGTCAACTTCCTCTCGGAAAACTACCACTAGGACAACTTCCTCTCGGACATATACCACTAGGACAGCTTCCTATAAGACAATTTCCTGTAGTAAAATTACTACTAGGACAACTACCACTATGACAATCACCACTGGGAAAACTTCCTCTAGGACAACTACCACTAGGATAATTACAACTAGGGAAACTACCACTAGGACAACTTCCACTAGGACAATTACAACTAGGACAATGACCCCTAGGACGAATCTACGAAAACTACCCCTTTACCACTATGACAGATTTATGAAAACTACCACGAGAAAAGCTCCCCCTACAATAATAACCTGCAGGACAACTATCCCTAGGACCACTATCCCTAGGACCACTAGAACAATTACCACTAGGACAATTTCCACCAGGACAACTTCCTCTAGGACGTTTACCACTAGGACAATTTCCTGTAGGAAAATTACACTAGGACAACTACCACTAGGACAATCTCCACTAGGAAAACTTCCTCTAAGAAATTTACTACTAGGACAATGACCCCTAGGACGAATCTAGGAAAACTACCCCTTTACCCCTATGACTAAACTACCCGAGAACAGCTCCCCCTACAATAATAATAATAAGGACCACTATCCCTAGGACAACTACCACTAGGACAATTATCACTAGGAAATTTACCCAGAAAAACGAATTAAAGGGGTGCTCCTACAACAATTGCTCTCTGGTCAATATCCTACACTAAAACAATATCTAACTTCAACCATGGAGATGAAACTATCCCTCATGCTATACCTAACCCTACACCTAAATCTAAAGTCCAATTGAAAGCCTAAACCTAACCCTATACCATTGACAAAATAAAACCCGGAGCAATTCGTCGCTGGAGTGAATGTTAGATCACCTGTGAAGAAGGTATATTCGAAAGCAAATCTTGTGCTTTTCTTACTATAAAAATGCAAAAAACCACTTATGATAATCTTCTGCGTACTTTGGTATTAACAAACTTATTTCCTAAAGTGTTTCAAGAACATACCTTCTATGTAGACTTCACGAACGAACATGCCTCCTCCCATAGTTGAGCTGCAAGAAAGGAAGAATTTGTACTACCCGGTAACAAATAGATTCATACACATAAGCATGAAACAGAATTGAAAATAATGAGGACATTTTACAGGAAATTGGAAAATAAAGAGTATTTGATATCAAAATGTTCAGAAAAATGTGGGCTTTCCAGGAAACACAAAGACGTAACTCTACCCAACACCCCATTGAAGTCAAGGGCTAGTGAAACATTGACTTAACCCCACCCAACGTCCCCATTGAAATCAATGACTAGTGAAACATAGACTTAACTCCTCAAGGCCCAAGTGCTCAGTGACACATAAACCACTTTTACTCAAAATGTGCCAAATTGGAGTTATACGTCTATGTGTCACTGCATGGCCCCTCGATATCTTACTTGTCTTTTCCAGGTCTGACCCCAGCCTCAAAGAGGGCATAGACCGGTCGATGATCCGACGTCTTGATCTCCTCACAGCTGCTGTAGTGAATTAATGAGATGTCTGAAACTTTGCGACTCTTATACAATACCCGATCCTGTATGACACAAACAAAAAAACAAGAGCAAAATCAAAATACCATCACACTGTGTATTGAAGAAAATCACCTCACCATGTTAATTTGCTTTCCTTGTAATACTTTATTTTTTACTGATATACTTTTTCATACAATTTGTATGCATTTTTATCTTATTTCTTAAAGTCAGGTTGATGGCCGTTTTACAACTATCAATAAATATGCCACAACAATAATAATGATTATTACAATACCATAATAATGAGTATTTCTAAAGCCATATCGCCATTATGCAAAACACTCAAGGCAAATGTAGCAGTAAATTAACAAGATATGTTCTACATTTATAAAATACAGTAAAGTTCTGATACAGAGAAATTAGCATTGAACACAAGAAGCCCAATTATTCACAGTGAAAAGCTATTCCCCCACTGCACTTGAGAAACTACTTCAACCCATTAAATCCAGTTGGCCTGGAGGGGGGGGGGGGGTGCTTTGCACAAAACTTGTCATCAGTGACCAATGGTAGTTTTTATTAATAAGCTTCTGAAATCCTTGCTTCTGATTGGTTATCAGCAGATTTGTCACTGATTTTTGTCATTTGTCATTGATCTGGTCTATGAAACACTTTGCTATTTTGGCTTATTTGTAGTGACACATTGTGATTTCCTGAACACATGGCTCTGCTTCTGTCTTTTGTACACAAATTTTAAAATCATGTCCTTCCTTCCTGTGCATGTTCTGCACTTGGGTTTTAAAAAAAAGAATAAACAGGTCATCTGGGGCTAATGAAGGCAGGGAATTTTTGCCTTTAACCAAGGCAGCTTGCATTTCAAGGTTGGTATTTATTAGAAAGAGAAATATAAAGACTATAATTATATCAAATGATCTTACTGTGTAAGAAGGAACTCTGGCCTTGGCGGATGTATCGTATATGTCCTCTCCAATATCAAACTTGTAAGTTGGCAGAAAGTCAATTTTCCCTTCATGGAAGCCCTGAAATATTTCATCTGAGTAAAGAGGAACATGAAACTGGTTATCGTGAGTTTGCAAACTCACAAGATTAGAGTGTAAAATGCAGTCCAACTTAACATGCAAAGACTACCACAGTAACAATAAAAGCACAGTGATTTTATAAAGACAATGTTAATGTGATCTATACAGCTTTCCTACTAGAGTTGTATCACATGTGTAGCAACCAAACGCAAGATAAATTTGGCATGGAGTACAATCCTTTCAGTTTGGACAGACTCTGCATGGCAGTTTTGAAGCCTGATCTTATAATGGGTGCTTGAAGTATTTTCATTCTTTTTAAACAGGGAGTTCCTTATTTGTATTTTGAGTAACTAATATCCACAAACAATCCAATAACATATATCTGCATACAAATTCTATGTTTGTATAAACATAATAAATACACAAGGAGAAGAAAGAAAGAGAGAGAGAGAGGGGGGGGGGAGTGATTATGAAGAAAGGAAGAGAGCCAGAAAAACATAGAGGAGTCAGAGAAAGAGGGAGAAACCAAAGAGAGGTAGGAGAAGGGAGAGAGACAGAGAGACAGAGAGAGAGAGAGAGACGAAAAAGAATAAGGAGAAGGGGGGGGGGGGAGAAGGTGATTATAAAGAAAGGAAGCGAGCCAGGAAAACATAGAAGAGTCAGAGAGGGAGAGAGAAACTAAAGAGAGGTAGGAGAAGGGGGAGAGACAGAAGAATAGAGAGAAAGAGAAAGACAGAGAGAAAGAGAAAGACAAAGGGAAGTAGGCAGGGGTTGAGAAAGAACTACTTTTAAAGAGAGAGAGAGAGAGAGAGAGAGAGAGAGAGAGAATTTATCTTACTTCTTTGCATTGCTTTATTGAGTTGATCATACTGCAGCAGGATATCGTAATCATCTTTATTGCCTCTTCTAAGCTGATCTATCCAGCCTTCTATCCGGGCCTTGTTCTCTGCCAACCGGAAATTGAAGTCCCCACACCAGAACACACAGTCAAAGCGAGTTGTCACATCACCTATACACAAAATAATAATAAATAATAATAAAAACATTGCTTATCAAGCGCTTACCACCAAAGTCTCTAAGCGCTATAACAAACAAAATAGACTGATAAACAATAACATATTAAACTAGATGGAATTTTGACTGCGCGCAGTCGAAAATGATGCCTCCGCCATAGAGCAATTTAAACAAGTTTGGAGTTTAAATCTCCAGTGGTTCTTGAGATATCATGATAACAATCTCAATGTATGGAATTTCATAAGTTGACCTCTGTGACCCTTGACCTTTGACCTACGTGCTCCAAAATCTAATCAGATCGTCTTCCTATGGTGATACATACTATCCTTAAGTTTGAAGTTTTTACATCTCCAGTGGTTCTTGAGATATCATGATAACAATCTCAATGTATGGAATTTCATAAGTTGACCTCTATGACCCTTGACCTTTGACCTACGTGCTCCAAAATGTAATCAGATTGTCTTCCTATGGTGATACACACTATCACTAAGTTTGAAGTTTAAATCTCCAGTGGTTCTTGAGATATCATGATAACAATCTCAATGTATGGAATTTCATAAGTTGACCTGTGACCCTTGACCTTTGACATACGTGCTCCAAAATCTAATCAGATCGTCTTCCTATGGTGATACATACTATCCTTAAGTTTGAAGTTTAAATCTCAAATGGTTCTTGAGATATCGCGCTAACAAACTCAATACAAGGAATTTCATAAGTTGACCTCTGTGACCTGTGACCTTTGACCTACGTACTCCAAAATCTAATCAGATCGTCTTCCTATGGTGATAAATACTATTCCCGAGTCTTAAGTTGAAATCTTAAATGGTTCTTGAGATATTGTGATAACGGTCAAACGGGACGGACGTACGGACGTACGGACGGACGGACGTACGGACGTACGGACGGACAACCAGAAAACATGATGCCTCCGGCACCACCTTCGGTGGCGGAGGCATAACAAAACAAAAAAGTGCAAATAAACCTACCGGTACACATAACAATACATATGAAATACACATCAATGTGAACAGAGTAAGTTAATCATCAAAAGCAATTTTGAATGAATGTGTTTTAAGACAAGTTTGAATTGGTTAACAGTTTGACAGTTTATATATCTTTATATTTTATATTTTAGTTATGATCTTGAACAAATTTTTAATTCATATCATGTAACGTTTGATTTCACATGTATTTATTGTATCTTAATGTTTTTTTATCATATTGTAAAAAAGTAACTGACAATTCAGCCTTCGGGCTGCGAGATGATTTTCAATAAAACAAACTATTTATAATAATAATAATAAACATCAATGCAATGACTCAATAAAAAATCATGAACTTTCAGTAGCTCATGTCGCATCAGAATATTGTACCTCTTGTAATCTATGTACAAAACAATTGGAAACAGTATTTGCCCTTTGTTTTCATAATTTTTTTGTGTGTATTCATTAACATGGAAGCCTGATAAGTGAAGGTCTAAAAATATTCAAGTAAACAAGTCTGTGTAGATATAAAACAGGTTAAAGCATGTTTGACTGTATTGTCAAACTTTGTCTGCTTCATAAACTGTGCTTCCGTACATGTCTTACTGGAACAAGGAAGTAGATTGTCTTACTTGTAAGTACATTGAACTTCCTGGTTGGGGGTACTTTCTCGGGTAGACTGATGCCTTTCAAGATCTTCTCATAATCCAGCAGCCTCTCCTTCATGTTCTCATCCCCAGCTGTATTACACAGAGAAAATAAAAGACATTGGGTGATTTCAAGTTTGGTGTTAGTGTTAGTGTTAGTGTAGCAGTCAAGAGCTCTTAAATCGAGCGGAGAATTTGCTGATGAAATTAAGAGCCCGATACCGATATCAAAATCGATAGCTTAACACCAGCCATGACGTCACCACATACTTGATTTTACGACGATGATTTAAAAATAGTTCATCAAAACTAAAGATATCAAGAAAAGTACAAAATAAATTTACACCTATTTCTCTGGTCTTAGAAAATAACTAATTTTACACGAAAGAATATATGAATTACCTGTTTCACATATTTTTATTTGATCGTCAGACAATAAATTGGCGTCGTTCGTGCGTTGACTGTGTGCGGGTACAACACTAACACCGAACTGGAAATCAACATTTGCTTAATCCCTAGGGGCTAGTGTTAGTGAATAGGACATTTGTACGTAAAATATTAACACCAGCCACAAAGGTCGGTTCAGCAGAAGACAATTTTGCAAAATCGATAACACTAGCTACCGGAAGTTGACGATATTCAGAGGTCAAAGCCTTAACACCAGCTGATTTCCATTTCGGTGTTTAGGCTGGTGTTAGTGTTTATTAAACACTAACACCAGCCTTATACACCCAACTTGAAATCACTCAATGAATCAGGGTCCTGTGAAATCTTCTTCTTCTTTACGTGCCATGTCCTTAGACGTTGGTGACCATGGAATGCCACAACTCTCTGTCCCATATTCTATGAAGTAATTCATTCTCCCCAAGATCAATTCCACTTTCAGAAATCCCACTCTAGCTCCTTAAGCTACTCATCCAGAAAACCCTCCTTCTACCCCTACTCCTCCTCCCCTCTATTCTTCCAGCCAGTGCAAGATTTTCCAAACCATTCTTTTGAATAACGTGAAGCTCCGACATATCAGACACTATAGCTTGGACTTGCCCTATTGTTAATGTCATATCGAGGGTTCAATGACACAAAGACGTAACTCCATATTTTGCCAAAATTAGTATTTGATATCAAAATGTTCAGAAAAATGTGGGCTTTTCAGGAAACACAAAGACTTAACTCCACCCAACACTCCATCGAAGTCAATGGCTAGCGAAACATAGACTTAACTCCTTAAGACCCTATTAAGTGATCAGTATCACATAAACCACTTTTTCTCAAAATGGCCAAAATGGAGTTACGTCTTTGTGTCACTGACCCCTCGATATGCTCTTGGGCTGCCTATTACTTTGGGTCATATCCCTGAACAAACTGACTCCATGATGAGTATCTGATACTTACACGTAAAGTGTGATACGATGAAGATGAATGATGTCCCAAAGAAATTGAAGCTGACAGCTATTGCACCCTGTAGTAAGACAAATGGAGAAAAAAGGAGAGCAATTTGAAAGATGAATCACTCATTGTTTCAGAATAATTATTATCCATATACATGCCACTTCACAACCCATTTCATTTCCATCATACTTCTTGCAAAAACATGAGGGTAAGAAAACAGGTACCCATGAATTTTGACCATAAAAATGATAAAAAATTTAATAAAAATGATAGGATTCCAATGGGGTAAGTAATAAACCAACCTTTGTTTTGATCATTGACCCTGGTCGTGTTGACACTCTTGATTCTTCCACAGCTGTCAAGAAAACAAACACAGAAATAAGATAATAACAGTGGGTTATTGCATATTATATGATGATGAGGTGGATCCTAATCAAATGATTGGTTAAGAGCGTACACGTGACCAGGCCTTTATTTTGCCTAACGCGTAATTTGGATAATGACCAGTCATTATCCATTTCTAATGACCTGTCATTAGTAGAATCATGTTATAAAACATTTTATAAAACAAATAAAACATAAAACAAATAATACAAAGCATTTTGTTCAGGCATTAGTAAAATTACCCACACTCGGACCTTCAAAACAGTCCAAAGGTACCTTGTGTAGGTAATTCTTACTAATGCCCTCACTGCTGTGTATTATTTGTATAGCACTCATGTCTATCAGACTCAACTTTCTTGGTACTCCACTGCTGTTATCCTGTCTTTAGCAATGCTGCCATTATGACACTCAATAGCATTTTAAAGAAGAAATTCATTTCTGCCAGATACCCAATCGCTTCACCGAGATCAAGTGCGGCAATTGCAGATTAATGTGTTGTCAAGGACATTAGTACTGTGGCAGGGAATCACACCCTGTACCTTGTAATCCATAGTCCAGTAGCTTATCAACTAGACAACTGGGGGTTATTTCACAAATTCGAACTTAACTCTTAACAATTATGGAGTTTGTGAAAAGTTTTCACTCTTGAATATCTTTAATATTACGGCTACAAATGGCTCTCCATAATGTTCAAGTCCAACTTAGAGAGTTAAGTTCAACTGAGGATCTTTGAGAAACACTCCCCTGATGACACGATTGACACTTACGTGAGCAGAACCAGATGAGGTCCCTCCTGATGAAGACCACGCATTGCAGGACACCATGAGCTGCTGAGTGAAGCAGAACATGGGACGGTCCTAGGGTTTCCTGCAGACGAATCTCCCATTCAGCTCTATCAAGGAAGGAACAATCAGAATGTTTGAATATTTGTTTAGGAATTGCAGAACATGACAGACTTATTAAAGGCATCATTTAACAATGTTTAAATCTGAGATGCATGGCCCTACTGTGGTGTAATATAAGAGAATCTTTGTGAATTTGTATGCATATTATATAGTAATGGCTGTTATAGTTTTTTTTTAAAGCATATTGTTAAATGTTAAATTGAAGCAATAAAACATATCAATAAAAAAATATACAAAAATCACAATGTTCAAATAGACCCATCTTCATTAGCCCAAATTTTCAAAGTAGCCCACTAATTCTAATACCCGATATAATTAGCCCGATAACAATTGCAAATAGCAGCATTGAATAGCTTTTGCTATTTCTTGGCTCCATCTACAACATGTTTACTTTTGGCCATGCCATAATTCAGTGTGACCATTGATTTTTTTTTTAATAGTAATAAATGAATGAATGAGTGATTGAATGATTGGATGAATGAATGAATGTGTGCATGAATGTATGAATGTGGGCTTGAATGATTGATGGAATGAATGAATGAATGAATGAGTGAATGTGTGATTAAATGATTGGATGAATAAATGATAGATGAAATGAATGATGGAATGAATGAATGAATGGTGGAATAAATGAATGAATAGATGGTTGAATGAATGAATGAATAGATGGTTGAATGAATGAATGAATGAATAGATGGTTGAATGAATGAATGAATGTGTGAGTGAATGATTGGATGAATGAATGAATGTGTGCATGGATGAATGAATGAATGTGTGCATAAATGAATGAATAAATGATGGAATGAATGAATGAATGAATGAATTTGTGTGTGAATGATTGGATGAATGATGGAATGATGAATGACTGATGGAATGAATGAAAGATTGATTGCATGAATGAATGATGGAATGAATGAATAAATGAATGGTTGAATGAATGAATGAATGAATGAATGAATGGTTGAATGAATGAATGATTGCATTCAAACTCACATATCAGGAGATGATTCCTGTGTGCCTATAACATAGACATCCTGCATGTACTCAATGTCTTCAGGAAGAAGAAGATCATCCAGGTTCTCAGGTATTTCCTGCAATAACAATTTGATGAAAGAAAACAAAAATTGTTTTTGTTTACTCATTTGTTTACTTGTTTGTTTGTGTTTGTAAATAATGTGCAACAATTAAAAGCCATTTTAAGTATCATCTGATCATCTGCTCAGGGCCAGAAAGGCATAAACTCTATGTTAAATTATACAAATTATTGAGGAGATCAGTGCTGACAGAGCTCTGCTAATTAATTTCCCCCAGTCCCTGTAAGGAGAATCACAAACTGGTTTGTTGCTCCTCAGATAGTGTTATGCTTTTGTTTATGTTTGTTTGTTTGTTTTACCTGACTGCTATTAAAGAAAGCATGAGTATGCATGTATTACCAATCTATTCAAAAACAAAAGAAGCAAAGCATTTCGCAAACGGGAAACAAATATTGTCTTAAAGGTACTATGTCCCTTTTTCAGCCATCCTCAAATGCTGTAGAACTTTGCAGGGATTATGAATATGTCATGTATGTCCTATCTGTGGAATTTAAACGTTAGCAGTGTCCTCATATTCAAATTATGCAAGGAAACCCGTTTACTTGCTAGACTTCACTGTCAGACACTATTGAGTGACTGACTGGCTTTTTTTCTTCTTTGGTAATAACATACATGAAAAGAGTTGTAAAGGGTACATGAGCATTTATCTACATCAATAACCCACTTCTTGTGATGGCCAAGATTAAACTGATTGAATCTTTGCGCAGCATAAAACGTATGACCATTCGGTACAATTGTCTGAAAATCAAGACTATTACTTTTGGGCTCTATAGCCCTAAAGTCGATTTGACAACTAATAGTCGTTATTTTCCCACTTGAAGACATTTTCAAGCCCCACCTTTTTTAGGTAAGTTCTAAATTAGTATTATCTTTCAAATGCAGTTGGAATTTAACTTTTTAATTTTTTGGGCCTGCAAATGGGACATAGTACCTTTAACACATGTGATATGTTAAACCACCCAAAACACAGATCCCATTTAAAGCCCCACAGCACTAGTTTGCCAGGAGGAATTAGGAAGTGCATGGGCACTGACAGGTGGTTATCTCATCAAATAAGCTCTCAATTAACATAAGAAAAAGAGGATCATGGTGGACCAATGGTCACTGATTAGGCATTGTATAGAGGGCGCAAGTAGCTATAAGTAAGCAGTGGGGCTTTACAGCTCACCTTGTCTTCATGCATGTTCCACGTTGCAACAAAGATGCGTAGTCTCCTCTCTGGAAGATGGGAATCCAGTTCATCCTTGCCTAACAGAGATCCGCTATTACGCACCCCTCCACTCAGGTAACTCCTAGATAAATATATATACAAAATGATGATAACATGTTTTTCTTTTATAGCGCTTTACAGATATATCATTACCCCATTCGATTCAGGCTTACCCACACATAATGTATGCACATTCTCCACTCCCTGGGGAGCATTTCAGCCAGGCATCATTTTTACAAGCGCACACTTGCTAATATAAAGCACATTAGCTTTTGCATCCTACCGGGTACCCATTTAACACCTGGGTGGAGAGTGGCAAATGTAGATCAATGTCTTGCTAAAGGACATTAGTGTCCCGGCGGGACTTGAACCGCGGACCTTGTGATCCACAGTCCGGTGACATATTCACTTGACCTCCACCACGACAGTGTATATGTATGTAATAAATCCTTGCCCAAAGACTAAAAAGGGTAGTACTGTACCTTACTGAAAATTTGTACATAATGACATGGTGAATAAAATACACAGGAGTGTTCCTTGATTGGATGTTTGGATTTGCCCAAAATCAAGTAACTTGGGCAGCGTTCCATGAAACTGTCATAAGTACAAGTTCACTGACATCCCATTGAAACGTGCGTTAGACGTAATATGCGCATTTCAATGGGATGTCGGTGAACTTGTACTTATGATGGTTTCGTGAGACGCCGCCCTGATGAATAAATAAAGATGATTTTACCTGTTGCCCTTTCTTGCACTCTTGTTGGTTAGTTTGTTGAGCAGCAGTGAGCTGGATGCCATAGACCTGTTGGTTTCAGACATGGACCCACCACTCAGTACTGACATCTCAGAGTTTCCAAAACTATCCTCCAAGTCATCATCTCTCTTGTAACTGGTCCGCAAGGAGGGCGACATGACGGTGCTTGGAAGCGGGGGAGGGGCACTGGCATTGGTTATGGGGGAGAGGCGTCCAGCCCTCAAGGAATCGGTTGGACTTGCAGCCCGCAAAGCATCACTGTCTTCATCATCTTCTATGTGCTGTAGTTTGTCTTTCAAATATTGCTTCAATTTCTCCTCATCTTCCTTATCATCATCTTTTAGAATCTCATCCTCATCACCAAGGACTGTTCTATTTGGCAATTCAATTTCTTTCTCCTCCTCCTCGTCTAAATCATTCCCTTTCAAATTGTCCTCACTTTTTGGAGGAACATTGCTTGCTCGAGCTTCGAAAGAGTTCTTTAGAGGACTTACAACAATTAACTCATCATCATCACTTTCATCATCATCATCATCATCATCCTCTATTAGAGTGACACTCATTTTTGGCTTTGTCTGTTGTTCTTGAAGCACATCCTGTGCCTCACTTCCAAGTGAATTCTGAAATCTACTGTTCAGAGTCCTATCATTGTTCTCCGCTGCTAATGTACGAGTGTTTGTCATGTCACTAAATGTACTGCTTATGTTTGTCCTTTCTTTCATTGCACTAGAAACTACAACATCACTTCTTAGATCACTTGATTCTCCGTCATCCGGTAAAATATCAAGCGCATCGCCATCATCATCCCCTAACATGTCACCTGACTTTGAAAGGACATCTTTTATTTGTTCTCTTTCATGAGCATGAGATTTTGTCTCAAGATTTGTTTCAGATGGAAGGTGTTTCTCCACACTTGATAAACTCACAACATCATTTTCCTGAATAGAGTTTCTGTCTGGAAACGAGCCAAAATGTTGCGAATCACTTGTTTCTGTCTCCACAACACCATCTATCCTCAATGCAGTTCCCCTCTGCGAAGGTGTATCGTATGTCTCCTTTGCTGCTTCCTCAACTTCGAAAATCCCATTCTCTGAAATCCCATTCGTTCTAATGCCTACCCTGTCTATGTTTTCTTCTGGCTTCATTTGGGACTTTGTCTTTGGTTTCTCCAGTGGTTCCAGCACTGCTCGTGGAGCGAGGGATTCAAGCCCTCCCAGGCCTCGTCTCGTTGGTTTCATGGGGTCAAGAGGTGAGGAAAACAGGGAGGAATTCAAGGTCGACTTCTCTCCCCAATCCAGTCGGTTGGATGATGGCAAAGGGTCAAGGCCTGTGACCTTTCCCCTATCATCCCCAGTGATGATGTCATTGACTCTGTCCCTTCCTGTCTTGGTGGACTGTGTGAGGTCATCAGAAAGTGCTGATCCACCATTTACAAAACCATTAGACAACCTCCTATCAGACAGACCATCTCTCTGCTGGCTGTCTGGTGGGTGGGGTACCAAGACATCCTTGGACGGGTCGCTCAGTGAATTGTTGGTTTTCTTCAATTTTCTGCATTAAAAAAAAAGCAAAATAAAAAGATCATCCAGAAACACAAGAGTATTTGAAGGAACTTTATCAATGAAATGTCAATGACAGCACTCGCAAATTATGGTTTTCTATAGATTGGCTAGTATATTCCCTGAACTTAGCAGATTACTCTGATACAGTTACTTCTTCCATGAAGAGGTCAACCAAAGCCGAAATAGACACAACCCTTCACACCGATGATTATGTGAGTGGCTACAAAGAAAATATTCTGTCCTATACAATTTTTAACAATCTTTTACAACCTACTTAGACTGATACTTCCAGAGATAGTTCGAAGTTTGATTATCCCATGAAAAGGCAATCTCACTTTACGACAAACATGTAATAAACAAATACCTGAGTCTTGCTAGGGTCTTTGATTTCTTGCTCCTGGTGCTACTTGCTCCATCTTCAACTGAAGAGGTCGATCGGGCAGAGAGTGGATCCAAGTCCACTAAATCCATCTCGATCTATCCGATAGATACAAGGATAGAGGAAAGGTGACCACCATTACCTAAAAGAGAGAGAAAAAAGATGGTTATGGCTATATATATGTTTCTGATCTTGATTAGTGCACTAAAATTTGGAATCGTGCATCACAACACCTCATATTACACTGCAGGAGTGCAGGCACTATGACACACATTTCGTACCAACATGTTAAGGATCGAAATCCATAGAGGGTAAATTGCATGGCTGTTAACCATAACATTAACAGACTACACCTACTGTCACATATTTGCATGGTAGGCTCCTCGCATAAATATCTTATAACATTGGGTGAATGGAAGCAAGCGAAAAGACAGGTGAATACAGGTGAATAAGAAGGGCCCTAATTTTCGGCGCCAATTTAGTAAAATGAGTCTGCAATTTGCTGAGATTGGATGAACGATCTGCGCAAGCGCTAAGTAAATGTAAAGCCTAACGTTCTGCGTGAGTCTGTTGTTACTAATGTTAGTGTTACTGTTATCTGTTAGTTACTAACATTTTTTGTTAGACTTTGCTGCAAATTCAGTTTAATTACAACATTCCTATATGTTTTGATTTACAACACATCAAAATGTCTCTATCTGTCTAGAGGAGCCTAGCCTCGCGCCGCGAGCCTCGGTTCTACTTAGCCATAGCCACGGCCAACCCAAGACCTTCGTGTAACCCATCGGCTCCGCTGGAGCGAGAGAGTACCGGTCGGTATGGTCATGACGACAGGAGCGTCACTCATGGTAAAAAAATATTGTAGCACAGAATTGGACACATTAAATTAGCATACGTATTTATTTTTTCATACTTAGTGACACATGAAAATCATAAGTATACAAAATTGTAACCATACAATAACAGACTTACATTATGACATTGAAATTACCGCAAATTTGTCTTGTTTTTATCCACTTAACAACACATGAATTCGGACAGTTGCTATCGCTAAACTATTTATGGTATCTTTAAAGCGAGAAAAACAAATGAATCGAGCCAGCTCTTCTTCTTCTTCTTCTTCTTCTTCTTCTTCTTCTTCTTCTCCTTCTCCTTCTCCTTCTCCTTCTTCTTCTTCTTCTTCTTCTTCTTCTTCTTCTTCTTCTTCTTCTTCTTCTTCTTCTTCTTCTTCTTCTTCTTCTTCTTCTTCTTCTTCTTCTTCTTCTCCTCCTCCTCCTCCTCCTCCTTCTTCTTCTTCTTCTTCTTCTTCTTCTTCTTCTTCTTCTTCTTCTTCTTCTTCTTCTTCTTCTTCTTCTTCTTCTTCTCCTCCTCCTCCTCCTCCTCCTCCTTCTTTATAGTGACTTTCTAAAGCTGGTTTTCTTGAAGTCGACTAAAGATCAAAACAACTCGTATTGCATCATGTGCATAAAATATATCATACTAGGTCGAATCATTATATTCGATCCAACTTCGATCTTGTTACTGACGTACATGATTATAATACAAGAAATAGACGATTCAACTTTAACTTACCTGAAAGAGTAGGTAGTATTGGAAATTCGTTTTATTACAATGCCATAAAACATTGGAATTCCCTTCCCAATGGTGTAAAAGAAATAGGAAACTATGATCATTTTAAGAGGAAATTAAAGGAATACCTAATACTTGACAGTCAGAGAAGAGAAGTGAATGACATGTTATATGATTGAAATTTTTATTCTTCTGTCGGTTCATACTTTTTCATGTTGTATATACTTATGTTTTCGTACGTTATAGAAATTCTACAAATTCATCATTATTTTCCTCTTCTTCCTTCTCCTCTTTTTCTTCTTCTCCTTCTTCTTTTTCTTCTTGTACTTAATATCATTTCTATCATCAGTTTAATGTTGTTATTATTATTATCTTTAATAAGTAGTTCTTTTAATTTTCTTATCTGTCTGTAAATATTACTATTTTAACTTATTAATTTTATACATGTCTGTAAGGGACCCCACTGGAAATAAGCTCTCGAGCTTTCGTGGGTTATCCTGTTCAAGCTGACTTTTTTTATCTGTTATTATTGTATATTGTTGTATGTTGGAAGCTTGTCGAATAAAAATCAATCAATCAATCAATCAATTCTCCTTCTCCTTCTCCTTCTCCTCCTCCTCCTCCTCTCGATCCTCCTCCTCCTTCTCCTTCTCCTTCTCCTTCTCCTTCTTCTTCTTCTTCTTCTTCTTCTTCTTCTATTTTCGATCATTAGTTTGATGTTGTTATTGTTATTATAATCATTTCTTATCTGTCTATAAATACTTAGATTTTTATGTATGTCATGGCGGGGACCCCACTGGAAATAATTAGCTTTCGAGCTTTTGTGGGTTACCCTATTCAAGCTGACAGATCTGTTATTCTTTTTTTTGAAAAAAAATCAACCAATCAATCACTCTCTCTCTCTCTCTCTTTCTCTCTCCCACTCACTCTTTCTCTCACCCCCCCCCCTCCCCCTCTCTCTCTCTCTCTCTCTCTCTCTCTCCTTTCCCCTCTCTTTCTCATCTCCAGGTTTTCATTTGCCACCATTTAAACTTAATCCATGGATAATTCTGGACAATTCGAGTCCTATACATTGTAGGTCCTGACCTGATATGCAGTTGTTCCTTATTTTGTAGATGTAGTTGTCGTCGTTGTTGTTGTCGTTGTCGAAGTCTCCGTCATTGTTGTTTTATTTAGTTTCTACGGCGCTTTAAATAAAAATGTGTTGAATATTAGAAGACACTTATTTTTTTTTTGGTCTCGAAATTTGAAAATTTGGCCCTTTTTTCTGTTGGGGGAGGGGGGGGGGGGGGTAAGGTCACTTTTTTTTTTTTTTTTTATAATTGAAAAAACAAAACCAAACAAAAACAAAACCAAAGGGGAGGAGTTTTAGGTTTTTTAAGGGGGTTTACACACATAAAAATACCAAAGGGGGGGTTCAACCCCCCCCCCCCCCCCCCCCCCTGTGTACGCGCCTGGCCTACATACAGAGTATTACAAAAATAATTGAAATTTGAAATACATAAATACATTTAGAAGGGTAACATTACAGATAATAAGAATACAATCAAACTAACAAGCAAATAAGTTCAGAAAGCAAATTTATGTCGAATGAGGGGTCAACAAAAAGAGCATATTTTAGCCTTGTTGAACGTTGATCCCTAAAGAAAGTACGTAATTAAAATCACATTAAGAATAAAAAGAAATGAAGTGGAAACAGTACAAGGTAAAAGGAAAACATAATACATAAAAAATATATACAAATATATACGTCATAAATCAAATATGAAATTCAAGTTGCTGAGTACAAATTTAATAAAAACAGTCAAAAGGAACGTTTAAAACTATTTATGGAAGGTTGATTACATAATAAAACATGTTGCAATTTTTAAATGATGTACATACTTCTTTAGTGAACATAATATACATTGCATCATTATAAAAGAATTAAACACAATAATCAATATTTAATAACATCAGAATTTGAGACAAAGAGGAGGAACCTATAAAAGAAGCATATAGCTTGGAAAGATGTAGGTCCCATTTCTAAAAATAATCACTCTTAAATACATCAGAATTTGAGAAAAATAGGAGGAACCTGTAAAGAAAGCAGAGCATTTAAAGCTATAGGTCCCATTTCTATCGATGTTTATTCAAACGTAAACGAGAGATCTGTGTCAGCCATTATGTTTTGATACCATTCATCAAATGCTTCGTTCTGTGCCACGGTGAAGTGGTTCTTCCAACGACCAACTATTCCTGTATTTGAAAAGAAAATGAGTAACAATTTTTTTTTTAAAAGGAAATATGAAAGTCAAACAATCTTTTAAAGAGATCCGGTAACTTTGTCTCAGATTCTGAAACAAAATAATGGATTTAGCTCATGCTGCAATGATAACTATAAAGCTTTAGGTCAGTCAGGAACCCCATGACTTTTACAAGCCGATCACCTGTCTGATTATCAAGATATTTATGATTGGAAATCGAAACCAAATTTTGCGTTTGCCTAACGGTTTTCATAACACTACAGTCTATTGGGGAAAACGAGTATGGTAAAAACCGGTCAGTCAAAGATTTGTTGACTTTTTTGAGGCACTCTGAGGTAACGTTATATGAACCAGAGAAATGATAACACTGAGCTCCCAGATGGTCATATCTCAGCCAATACTTAACCTATTCAATTGTTTTTCAACATTTGGACATTATTTTTGATGCTCTTTCGGAAAATGAAGAGAAAATTGAGAAATCCCCCAAAATAGATTTTTATAATGTCACAGCGTCATAGACAATACGGGTTATTATTGTGTGGGAACCAGCAAAGACACGATTTTTTGTGAAGGCATTTTTGAGGTAATGCAAACATACTTTGTTAACTGAAATGACTAACATAATAAAACAGATTTGTTTCATGTTGTTGAAAAATCATAATATTCCCTAAAATTCCAATATTTCTTGTTGTGTTTTCATTATAACGGCCCAGCGCTCCTAATGGCACCCAGAGAGATTATTATACCTGATGGTCCTAGCAAACAGATAGTAATCATTTGAAATTAAGCAAACTACTACTAGGAAGAAGATGAGGAACAAGGGGAAGGAGAAGAATCATTTTCAGCAATATCGGTAATTATTAATGATCGAGGCATACATAGCCTACTCCGTGGCAATAAGGAAATAAGCGAGGGAAAGGAACGACAATGACAAGAGAGGGAGAGAGAGAGAGAGAAAGAAAGAGAGAGAGGGAGAGAGGGAGAGAGAGGGGGTAGCCTACTATGGCCCTGGTTCAAATTCATTTTTTTTAAATAGTTTATTGGACCCAGTACTGATGATCATTATCTATATGGGATTGCCATGTGTACGCCACATCGAATAGCACCTCATTTGTGTTTCTTGTTGTAAAGGACTTATTGGCTTGCACCCCATGCAGTAGCATATTATCATTGTGTTTGGTCTTGTTATTGAAAACAAGATCAAACACATCATCATGATCTACAGGGTGTAACCAAATATTTCTTAACAACAAACAATTGAAATTTCTTTCAGGAAGCCTAACAATAAAAACTGTTTTTTTATTATTCAAAGAGCATTGTAGAGACGATAAACAAATAATAATAGAAATACTTGATCATCGTTAAGCGTGAGACCGTTCACTTCTTTCTCTCGCCGCAAATAATCCGAACAAAAGAATCAACCAAGGGGAATCAACAGCTGTTAAACGAAATTTATCATGGGCCCTGGAAAAAGTAATTAATATACAAATAATACACAGCAGTAAAGGTATTGGTAAGAATTACCTTTGGAACAGTCTAACACACCAGAGGCGGTAGCCGAGGGTGTTTGGATTGTTTTGGAGGTATCAAGTGTGGGTTATTATAATGCCCGAACAAAATTATGTGTATTATTTTGTTTTATAAGATTATGTTTTATTTGTTTCATAAATTATGTTTTATCACATGATTTTACTAATGACCGGTCATTATTATCCAAATTACGCGTTAGGCAAAATAAATGCTTGGTCACGTGTACGCTTTCAACCAATCGTTTGATTAGGATCTACGTCAGAATTTATAATATTGCTTGTCAGTATTATTCAAGAGCAGCAAAGGCGAACGATTATCGCTACAATTCAGAAATCGTTGCTTGGATTGGTTTTCCCTCTAAAATTCACTGAGATATCAAGCTACATACAACTAAGATCGACAAAAAAGACATTGTCTTGAAAACAGTCAGAAAACATTTGAACTAGAATGAATAAAACATAATGCAAATGAATGAGACTAGAATGAATAGGACACAAGTTCATGTTTACCATTTAAATTACCCAGTACCAAATACCCAAGCAAAATTTGACCCAGATGCATACAATGGTAAGCTTAAAGACAGTGATTCATGACAAATTGACAAACGTGGTATAACTTTGAAAGTAACTGTAAAGGTGACATGTCATTGTGCCCCCCCCCCCCCCACCCCCATGCTCAAGCTCGGATTGACGCCCATGGATGTTTGGCGAGTGGGGATTGGACCTGGACGACCCCGGTTTTAAGCTGTTTTAACATCGGGGTGTAGGTGGGGGGGGGGGGGGGGGTCCTCAAAAGGGCTTTAAAACCGGATCTTCAAAACCCTTCTCTTCTCCTCTTCTTTTCTCTCCTCTTTTCTCTCTTTTCTTCCCCTCTTTTCTCTCTTTTCTTCCCCCTTTTGTTACCTTTGAAAATTCTAGGGGGTTCGATCGTACCCCGCCCCCCAACTCAGTGTTATTTAGTTTTTTCTTTTGTTATACGAGCCTTTTTCAGCACACCCCCCCCCCCCTTTCAGCAAAATTCCGGTGTGTAAAGTCAATACGGGTAGACCTTTTTCTTTTGTTACGAGCCGGAGAGTTTGGGAACACGCATGGTATCTCTTCGTTCACGGAGTGGGGGGGGGGGGGGGGGGGGGGGGGGAGGGGTCGAACCCCCCCCCCCCCCCCTGGTTAGGGCTTGTTACAGTATTATGACGATTTTCACCTGTTTAAATACAGGTTGGATATCAAACTTTTCAATAAGTGTGATTAATAAAAAGAGATTATTGCTGATGTAAGTATACAAAATTTCAATTTCATGGATGAAACTGATTCCACTTTAAGGATTATCATACATTTTGAAAGTTAGAAGACAAAAAAAATTCAAATTATCTTGATACTGTATAGCGGGTTACTGTCTAGCCAATATGCAAATGGACAATACAGAGGTGATTATATTCACCTTTGTTAAGGAACGTATACATTCCTGATGCATTACTGACGAGGTTTTCTTGCCCACTCTCCGCCATTTTCTGAAATCTTTTTCTCTGCGATTCAATGTGGCTGAGCTCAACAACACGCTGTAGTGTTTCATCCGACAGCGGATGACCAATACCTGAAGCAATCTTCTGAATGTTCTTGGCAGGTTCCTGTTTTTATTAGAGTCAAACAATAGAAAATGTTTTTGCTAGCAACACATTTAAAAAAAAAATATTGTTCAAATAAGAAGGAATTAACTGCAACCTAAGAGAAGTTTTCAGCCAGTGGCGTACGATGGAGCCCGAATGGCGGAAAAGAGGAGATAAAGGAATTATGGAGAGAGGAAAAAAATAGACAACACCCTTTCCACAACTCGGGGAAAAAAATTTGTGTAACAATATTTTAAAAATCCTTACATAGTTGTGGATGGGGCGTTTGTCGTCTTGTTGTCTTGCAATAGATCCTTATTTTATTATTATCTTTTTATCCCAGATTATGCAAAATAAAATTTCCTCCCTATAATGGTATTTGTTATTCACCAAGCCAATGACGCATAGTCAGATTAACACAACTCGAGAGTTTGTTAGAACGTGTTGCGAGCTTTTACATTTAGAGAATATCCCTACCAGTATTCAAGAGGGGTATCTTCATTTCTTTCTTCTTTTTTTTTTGGGGGGGGGGGGGAGGTGGCTTGAAGCCTGCAGAACCGCTCCCGACGCTTACCTTTTTGAGATCTTCGTAGAAGACAAACGTCACATTCTCGTGGTCACGTAGCTCCCAGAACTGACGGACATGTTTTGGCCAACAACCCCAATTCATTGCTGATCAAATTAATGAGAAAAATAAGAAAAGGACGAAAAGACCATGCTTTTCATCACCAATCGCCAACCTATGAAGCTCCTATATTTTAAAACCAATTTATAGATACATTTTTGCAAATCGTCACAATCATGACAAACATTTTTCTAGTAATTTTTTTTAAATAACAAAACAATAAATAAATAAATAACAAACAAACAAAAAAAACGATTACAATTTGGTCCCCCTTCCTTTATTTTAAGCAAGTAAATTAGTAAATGATTATTGAAAATAGTTATATAAACTGGCCGCCACATTAGTTCTCTTTCTTTCTCTCTCTCTCTCTCTCTCTCTTTCTCTTTCCCCGCATATACATAACATGCGGTGGTGCCCTCAAAGTTTGCAACCAAAGTTTGCACGGATGTTGGCCTACATTGTACTACTTTAATCTCAAACGAAGACTCAAAGTATTTATATCCCATTTCTTTGATAAAATCGGTGACAGTTCCATGTGTTTTATTACAAAAGGAGAGGGGTGGGGTGCGAAGGGGGCACAGTCCATAAATCGCTCTGACAAAGCAAAACATTCTTAACCAGATTTTAAAAATTAGAACCTTTTGGCCCGAATTCACAAAGGAGGTTTGTCGAAGAAACCTTGGTTTTCGTACGTCATGACGCGTTTTACGCGTTTTTTACAAACCGGGTTTGTAAAGAACAAATTAAGGAGGTTTAGCGAAACAAAAGGAGGTTTGAGCTCAAACCTTGCTTTGTGAATTCGGGCCATTGGGTTTTTAAAAAAATGTGCACAGACCATACAGTAACAAAATGTAAGGTATGCCATATCGGATTTTGCCGCTTTGCGTGTGTCCCGTGCCCCCCCCCCCCCCCCAGTCCCACCACTGATCGACATTCCTCTATGGGAGTGATAAAATGATTTACTGTAGTTCATAAATTCCTCTATGGTTTTATCCATGGTAAGTGAATAGACTGGGTCATCTTTGACGAACTCGAACCAAGATAAGATGGAGTCCTTTGGATTGCGTGCAGTGTAGATGACCTGGATATAGGTGGTACAGAAACGAAAGAATGAGAAAAGTATGACATGCTTGTATAGAACTATTACGGACAGGGAGACAAACATTTTGTACAAAGTAAGAGGTATGAACAATTAGTCTGTTTAATAAAACATACCCATGCAAACTAAAAATACTGATACATAATACGTACATGGATATCCTCCAGGTGGGTCGCTCCATTCATCTGCCATTATTGAAACATCCCAGAAAGCGCACTCAGCCGAACGAGCTGATAGAGTATACGTGAGTGGACAAACATTAGACTTGATGATAATATACTCAGTAAGACCCAATGGGACCATGGACCTACTAACTGTCTAAGCCTATATAGTTTCGGGTGATCTATCGATTATCATCCTAATAATAGTTCAGAGCGATTTCTTGACCTGCTTCCTGAAAAATCTCAACATGGACCTACTAATCGGACCCAACTAAATGTGCTAATCCGAATAATATACATGAGATGACACCCACCTTTGACTTGAGGATATCCTCAGGCAGAAGGTCTAAGGTCAGGTGATCAAGCATCACCCTAGGTGAGGGCGCTCTCTCGACAACGTCCAGGAATGGACTCATGTTCACAGGATGTATTTTCTCATCTTCCCTTGTGGCGGGAAACGGTTGATCCATGTTGATCATCTCCGGTGTCGAGGAGTAAAGGGATCGGTTGATCTGATCCGGATCACCATCGCTTAGAATGAGTCCAACAATCTCCATCATCCAGTGGGTTCCTATCCGGATGAAAAGGTAATCAATTATTCATTAATCCATTAATTTGTTTTTCTTGTCCTCTTACCGAGGTGTTTTATTTCACATATTTCACATTTCATATATATTTACATCAATTTACATTTAAACATAATAAAAAAAGACAAAAGTAATTAAATATAAGCAACGTAGACCTTGCCGATGGTAAGTTTTTATAACCTGAAAAGTAAAACACTTTCAAGTAGACCTATACAATAATTCATCTGTTGATCTCTTGAGGCCCACTTATATAAAAGATTCTGTCTCAAAATGACCACTCATCGAAAAGTGAAAATACCATTGGAGAAAAACATCATTATTTCTAGGCCTATATAATTTCATAAACAATAAAAATAACAACATCAATGTTGCGACTATAGGCTTGTGATAACCTCTTGTATATAATAATGTCTATTTTTTTCTTTTCAAAAGTTAACATTTTGGATTTCATGACATCGTAGTTTTGGGATTTGCCTCTTTCCAAAGACGAAGAAGGTGTATATAAAGAGCGACCTCTCACCTGCTTTTGGAAAGGACAAGAGCCAAACATCATCTGATCGGACTGGGAAGGTCCTCAACCGTTTGATACTAGAATCCAGGACAAAGTTTGGATACATAACTCCTTTAAATTCATGCCTCAAGCGGTAAAACGGAAGGTTCTGGTTTACAGCCATCTACGGAAATGCAAAAAGTGGAAAGAATATTTACAAAATTACAATTCACAATTGTAACAACATGGATTGGCGATTTATAATTATGAAGACAATTTCTCATTAATGTATACAACTTGGAACTCATCACTGACATTAAAGGTAATGCAAAGTTTTGGGAAATTTTGAAAAATTGGATGGATTTGCAATGTTGATATGCTTGGATGCCCCTGTGGATGTATTATAAGCACTAGAAAATTTAGCCCCTAAAACACTTCTGCTTTCGAGAAATTGAATAATCAAAAATTTACCGGTGCTCCCGGTACATTTTGAATTTTTCAATTAGCACCTAAGGGCCATGCCATGGTGACTGCGACCATGAAAATCTCAGAATATGCGGCAGTTCTGATATATAATTTCCAACGGGCATGGCAAATTGGTCGATTGTAGTCAAGAAACATTGTTTTAAAGCGAAAGTAATATCAATCTAGAGAGGGCGCTATACAACATAAAAAGTTTATTATTTACAATTTCATCACTTTAGACTCGATTTCAAATGCGACAACGATCATCGAATATTGTAAAATCGCATTATGCTTCCAATATCTTCATTTGAACCAAATTCATGACCCCATACCAAAACTTTGTATTACCTTTAAAGTTTGCTTAATGATAAGCATGACATGACCTACATCTGCTTAATCAAAACAAACTAAATGGCTGAACCGAAATATACTGACCTAGTTCCTTTTACATATTTGTTGTGTGAATAACAGCGGTGTATATACTTGACTTAATAATTACAATTGGCAAACTTTTTTCTCGGTTCTGACCTTGAATTGGAAAATGGTGGATCCGTGAAAACGGTAGTATTTCACCAAATACACTGTTGGTCATAAAGGTGGAATATTTATTTTTACCCCAGTTTAGGGAAGGATTTTTAAAAATTATTTATTTCTAATAGATATAGATCTAGATAATGGCATTTTCCCCCGGCCCCCAACAGGAAAAATTCCTCTGTAGGGCCATGCATTATGGTTCAAGGCATGGCCACACAGAGAAATTTTTCCTGTTGGGGGCGGGGGGAAATTGCAATGATTTTTTGACAATTTATTGCATTTTCTTCGTTTTGGGGGATTTGTGGGGGCGGCCGCGTACCCTAGCAAACACTGCGTACAGTCATGATTCAGGGGCTAAGCAATGGCCTCGTTACTGTGAGGCCCCAGGATAAAAATCGTGTCGATCAGCTATATAAGTGCCCTTTTGTGAGGCATTAATCCTCATTACTGTCAATTATGATTTAAGGACGTAGGTTCCCTAGCTGATTAGCATAGTAGCACACATATGATTTAGCAGTCACGCAAAAGAAACACTCGCAAATCAATATTCAATAAAATCTGAGAATGTATGCCATTATCTAGATATATTAGAAATAAATAATTTTTTAAATCCTTCCCTAAACTGGGGTAAAAATAATTATTCCACCATTATGACCAACAGTGTATATTCACAGTTAACATAATGGATTTGCAATAATTTATATGAAGACAATTATTTTATTTAACTTGGAACTCGTCATTGACATAAAAGTTTGTTTAATGATAAGCACATGACCTAAATTTTCTTGATCAAAACAAACCAAATGGCTGAACCTTTATTATACCGACGTAGTCCCTTTTACGTTCCTGGTGTGTGAATAACAGCGGTGAATAAGACTTGACTTATTAATTACGATTGGCAAAGTTTTGTTTTTCTCGGTTCTGAACTTGAAATGGAAAATGGTGTAGGCCTATCCGTAAAAACAGTGTTATTTCACCAGGTATATCATCACCCCTTGTAAGAGTTGTTCTGAAAAACTCTTGAATCTCAAATATTCTTATTTCTTCAGGCACTATAAAAAAAATTGGTATTCTGAATACGCAAATGATCTCCTTCGCCGCTCGTTGTCCAACTCGCCCCCTCCCCCTTGTCGATATTCTCTGAAAGGGGTAGCAGCCAGAGCGAGAAGTAGGGAGGTAGAGGAAGAGAAGAAGAAGAAGAGAGAGAGAGAGAGAGAGAGAGAGAGAGGGCGGAGAGGGCGGAGAGAGCAGAGAGAGAGAGAGAGAGATAATATGAGTGAGTGCTTGATGCATGTGGGCCCTGGCGAGAAAGGAGCTAGGGGGAGAAAAGTTATAAAAGAGATAAAACAGAAGTATACGACAGCAAACATTATGCATACCTTTTTGCAGCTATAGAGGAAGACTTTTACGGAATCAAAACTCCACTGGATACGCTAGTGTCGAGTCGAGAGTATTATCGTGCACAATACTCATACCGAAGTATAATCTAAAAGCAATATGTAATTATGTTTAGGGTTTTTAATCACTAATGCAGAAGATTCAGCTGGACATGTCTGTATAGAGCAAAGTCCAGAGTTTGAACCTTGATAAAGGAATTTGTTTATGGCCGACTTTTTAATTAAGCGCAGCAGCCGTAGCGATCTAACTCGCTATTTGAATTTCGCTCTTTTTATTATAGGAGAGCGCAGCAGCCGTAGCGATCTAACTCGCTATTACATTATTTCGCTACTCAGGGACGGATCCAGGGGGGGGGGGCACAGGGGGCACGTGCCCCCCCCCCCTTTTAGCGGCTGGCTGAGTCGTTGCGAAATTTTCGGCCCGATTTAAAAATGTTAAACCCCCCTTGAAAAAATCCTGCGTACGCTACTGATTTCACCCCATGCCATTTTGTGCCCCCCCCCCCCCCCGGTAAGAAATTCCTGGATCCGCCACTGCTACTATAATTAGTAAGAGTTTGTCGCAACAAATTTCTTCTCTTATAAGAGCACAAAATCTCTATGTTTGCGAGAGAGTAAAGTCCCGGTTTTTACCGGGGGGGGGGGGGGGTCAATGGCCCCCCTAAGATCCCCCCCCCCCGAAAATTTGCATGCATGTCAAGTGCTAGTACTCTAACATATTTGATACGAAATGATTTAAATGTTATAACATCTACTCAAGAGTGTTTTGCAATTGAAATCACAGTGTCTCGTGGAAAAAAACATTGTAATATTGGTTATATATAGGCCACCGAGCTCAAGTTGACTATAGTCTTTACCCGATTATTATCTTGGACAAAATTAGGTTCTTAGAGACATAATGACGTCGTTATAACGTCGTCCTTACGACAAAAAAAATATCTTGGAAAAATAGTCTTTAAAAGAGGTCATAATTACGACAAAAATTATATTGGAAAAATAGTCTTTTAAAGACGTTGTATTGACAACAATAATCTTGGGATAAATAGTCTTTAAAAGAGGTCATAATGACGTCGTAATGACGTCGTCAATATGACAACAATTATATTGGAAAAAATAGTCTTTTATAGACGTCGTTATGACGTCGTCGATACGATAAAAATTATCTTGGACAAATTAGTCTTTAAAAGATGTCGTTATGACGTCGTCGATACGACAAACATTATCTTGGAAAAAATAGTCTTTTAAAGACGTCATAATGACGACGTTAACACGTCGTCAGTACGACAACAGTACATTGGAAAAAACAGTCTTTTAAAGACGTCATAATGACGTCGTGAATACGACCAAAATTAGCTTGGATAAAATAGTCTTTAAAAGAGGTCATAATGACGTCGTAATGACGTCATAATGACGTCGTCAATACGACAAAATAGTCTTTAAAAGATGTCAAAATGACGTCTTTATGACGTCGTCAATACGACAACAGTACATTGGAAAAAAACAGTCTTTTAAAGACGTCATAATGACGTCGTCGATAAGACAAAATATATCTTGATAAAATTTGTCTTTTAAAGAAGTCATTATGACGTCGTTTTGACGTCGTCAATAAGACAAAAATCATATTGGAAAAAATTAGTCTTTTAAAGACGTCATAATGACGTCGTAATTTTGTCGTCCGTACGACGTACGACGTGTTTACCACTTTACGACCAATTTATGACGTCTTTAAGACGTCAGTCTGCTATCAGGGTTATTAATACCTATTTTGATGATATTTTACAATGTTTAACTAAAGAGAATAAGCATCTATATATAATGGGTGACTTCAATTTAGACCTCCTGAAGTAATCTAGTGATTCAAGGATTAATACTTTTTTGAACAACTTATATGTTAATGGTTTAACACCTATGATCAACAAACCAACCAGACTTACAAAAACTACTGCATCACTTGACAATATTTTGTATTAATTCTTATACTTCAAATGTAAATGCTGGCATCATCAGACCACTTGCCAGTTTTTGCAATGCTAAATAATGCTCAAACATGTTATGAGTATGATAAGGGAAAGAAAATAAGACAAATCAATGATAACACAACGAAGTCATTTTTCTGCAAGTTATCTTCTGAAGAATGGACAGATGATTATAGAAGTAAAGATCCCAATGTTGCCTTTTCTCCAACTTTCAAAGGCATTATAATAAATCTTTCATTTTTGTTAGGAGTAATAAGAAAAATAAAAACAAAAAGTTATGGGTATCATTAAACTTGTTGACAAAAATAAGATTGAAGAACAAACTTTATAAAAGGTTTTGTTGTAATCCTACATATTATGAAAATGAAGACAAATATAAGAAGATTAGAAACAAAGTGTCATCTGAATTGAGAAAGGCAAACAAAAAAAAGTATTTTTATCAAAGGTTTAATGATTGTAGAACTGACCTCAAGAAAACATGGCCATTGATTAATAATATATTTAAAAAACGAAAACCCATCTTTTACCACAACACTTTATACACGAAGGAAGAACACTAAAAGATCCGCAATTGAATGTTTTTTTTAACGATTATTTTAACAATATTGGACCCAAACTAGCTTCTTCCATTGATGCAACTACTTGTAAAGATTTAAATTTCTCCTGTTTTATGATATCTCCGATAAAGGAAAGTTTATTTCTGAAACCTATTAATGAAGATAAAATTTTGAAAATAGTGTACTCTTTTAAAAATGGAAAGTTGTGTGGATGGGACGATATTAGTCCAGATATTGTCAAGTATGTCAAATATGTTATTACAAAACCTTTAGCTTATGTTTTTAATCTCTCTCTTCAAATGGGAATAGTACCCTCACAACTAAAAGTATCCAAAATATAAAGAGTATCCTCCTCTTTTTCTTCTTCTCCTTCTTCTTTTTCTTCTTGTACTTACCATCATTTCTATCATCAGTTTAATGTTGTTATTGTTATTATTATCTTTAATAATTCATTCTTTTAATTTTCTTATCTGTCTGTAAATATTACTATTTTAACTTATTAATTTTATACATGTCTGTGAGGGACCCCACTGGAAATAAGCTCTCGAGCTTTCGTGGGTTATCCTGTTCAAGCTGACTTATTTTTGATCTGTTATTATTGTATATTGTTGTATGTTGGAAGCTTGTCGAATAAAAATCAATCAATCAATCAATCGTATTTGTTGGCTAAATGACTCATTTTAAAGGACACATCATGCGCCCTCTACGGCCAAGTGGGGCTCAGCTGAACAAAAGAAAGCTCTAGATTTAGTAGTCGACTGAAATTGAAGAGCTAAACATTGCTGTATATGAGCGAATTTTAGGGTAAGAAATACCAATTCGAAAATTTCCCATAAAATTTTTGTGATGTGTGATTTTACTATAAAAAAGGCATTGATTTACATATCTAATCTGGTTTTGTAAGCCTGAATAAGCACTATACGTCACAGGCATTGCGGTCTGCTGGAGTCTGCTACCGTGACCGAGTTTTCGGCAGGGTCCAGCCCGACCCTGTAGGGCCGGGGTTGTGTCGTGTCGTGCAAGGTGGCCGGTGCAGCGCAGTGTATTTACCGCGAGCTTAGCTTGGTTAATAACAGCTGGGTTGAGAGTTTTCTACATTGATGATTTATTAATTATGTTATTGATATCATCAAGCCTTACTTACTAACTTAGTATGAATTTGCATCTTGTGAAATAAGCCACGGGCACTGGATCCAACTCGAACAAAGAATAAGGATCGTCTTCATAAACGAGGATCGTTGATCTTTGTAAAAATGCGGACCGATGCGTCCTAAAAAATAAGGATCGTCTGCATTTTTCGCAGACGTTTCATATTTTTTATTGGCGCATTAGCGATGCAAAAAAACGGATTAGGCGATGATTTTCTTGATGCATTTTAGATCTACATTGACTTTGCATGTACCGAGACCTTCACTGTCACATTATTTTGAGCAATAAATCCTTGGGAAGATGGACAACCCATAATTAAAAGTAGACGGTGAACTATGTCTATGGTTATTTTCCCCTGGGGAATCCATTTTTGGCATCGCCAGTGGGCGGTTGGGTAACCCGAAACCCGCAGAGCGCCGATGAAAAAAGGGTCCGCGAAAATGCAGACGATTCTCATTCTTGAGGATGCATTTTGTCTGCGATTATGAGGACGATCCCCATACTCAGACCAGCGCTGTGGATAGACCGAAAGCTTCAGTCTGTGGTAGGGTCTATATAGGCACGTCTTCATCATCTCGAGATTACCAAATAGCCCGCTATTTGGGAAATAATCCCAAAGTAACAAATAGCGTCTGCACTATCTCAAGATTCGACCTCGGAACTTGAAACTCGACCTTGAGAAATTAGCTCGAGATATTTTGCTCAGCGTTAGCGTGTATTGCGAATCTTCGGTCTAGTGAAGACGCACAGGACAAATAGCTGGATATTTTGCAAACTATCCCAAGATATCTGGGGATGACAATCCTGACCAAATATCCTTCTAATTGCTACTTCGGTCTGATGAAGACGCAAATTAGCTGGATAGTTTGCGATCGGGATAGTTCAAATTAGGCTTGAGTCGGTACGGTCGATCACACCGGGACCCGACCGTTGCCGTCGGGTCCCGGTTTCGTTTTTTGAGAACCGGCGCTCCGAAAAAAATAATGAAATATGTAAGAAATTGCAGTTTTGCACACCACTAAAATCAATCCACCCTAAAACTTAAGTATTTAATTGTTACCAATCGTATTCTAGCTCATCCAGAATCAATCCGAACTGCTGATATAAATATGGGTTGCAAAGCAGTTCGCCCCATGGGGTTGTTGTTGCCAGCTGCTAGCTAGCTACTGTACTGGCCGGGTCTCTCGGCAGAATTAATAAATCAGGTTGAAAGAAACATTAATGTTTGAATAATAAATCGACTTTCTAAAAAGTACTTCTTTACTACATACCGATCGAATAATTTTTAAAAGACAAAATATATATTTTTTCTTTGATTTTGAACACCGCATGCTTCTTTTAAAAGCTGAAAATGACTTGGTAATCACAAGAAGTTTCGATACGGATAGCTGTTGCAATGCAAGTTCAGACTAGTCTCGGAAAAATGCGCAGTGCTCCTTGTTAGCTATAATGCGTGCCAGAACGAACCCAAACAAAGACGTGATCGTAACGAGAAAGAAATCATTAAAAACTACGAGAGCACAATTGGAAAGACAACTACTCAAAATTATCGTAAGCAGATACATAACTTAATTGGAGGAAGAATACAATAGTTGTCAAAGAAAAGCCACATAAATAGTGATATTTAAGGAGTTACTATAGGTACAATCATTATCGGAAGGGCCTGCTGCAATATATCTAAACGTGTTTAAATTAAACACGAGGCAAATACCGCCCTCTACGGTAAAAAGCAGTATAACAAAGGATTCGAGTATTTGCAGCAGGCCCCTTGCGATAAAAATGTACCCAGTTACTCCTCGATTATCACAATTTCTGTGGCATTTCTTGGGCGATTATTGAATTCTTTGTCCAAGTTATGTATCTGATTATGGTAATTTTGAGCAGTATATCTTTCCAATTGTGCTCTCGTAGGTTTTAATGATTTTTTTCTCGTTACGATCACGTCTTTGTTTGGGTTCGTTCTGGCACGCATTACAGATAACGAGGAGCACTGCGCATTTTTCCGAGACTAGTCTTAACTTGCCTTGCAACAGCTATTCGTATCGAAACTTCTTGTGATTACCAAGTAATTTTCAGCTTTTAAAAAAAAGCATGCGATGTTTAAAATAAGAGATAAATATTTATTTTTGTCTTTAAATATTATATGATCGGTATATTGTACAGAAGAATTTTTTAGAAAGCCGTTTTATTATTCTAACATTCATATTTTTTGACCAGATTTATTCAACCTGCATAAATCAAAATGGCGGCTCGATTGTAGTCTTTATATTTTTGCTCGAGTTTTTTTACTTTTAGAGGCACGATAATGGCACTAAACATCGCCAATCATGGATGAATATAATGTCAAATGGAAGAATATACCAATCTGTGCCGAGGTATGCATGTGTTGATTTATTTGACTGATAAAAATGTCACTTTTAAGGGACATACTGATGATATGCGCTTTTTATAGAGGCAAGTGACAAATCCTGCGAGCTGATTTCGGGACACCGGGTCCCGACCGGTGCAAGGCCGTCGGGACCCGGTTTATGAAAATCCCGACATGACTCAGGCCTAGTTCAAATAGCTGGATATTTGGCAATCTCGAGATAGTGAAGACAGGCCTTATGTGATATCGACGGTTGTTCTGTTCTGCTGAGATTGCAACTGGCTCCTCTCTATGGGGAAAGACGGCAAATGTCAGTTTTATTAAAGAATGACCCAAACCAGGCAGTTATTTCTGTCTAGCCACTGGGTCTGCCACTAGACTACCACTGCATGGTCATCTTAAACAGTCACAGTGAACACAACATGCAACAAACACTTGCAAAGTCTATCTACTGTATACTAGATTAGTCCTTTTTTTCTTGTCTGCCTCCTTCAATACTGAAGATTCTTGCAATATAAACTAATATGCAGAGCCTCCCTCACATTTGTGGCATCAGAATTGCACGCAGTAAACCACTACTTGCAAAGTGGATGAGCACTACCGAAGCTGAGTGATGGCGATTTTCCTACCTTCCTCATGTTAAAAAGGTGTGATTTACATTTGTAAAATGCTGACCTCTTACAAGAGTTCGCTATGATTGTTCCAGCTGAAATGCAAAGACTACAATAATAGCGATTTAATTCAGCATACAAAGGCACATACAGGGAGTTTGCTGATTTAAGCCAAACTCCCTGTTCGCTGGCATTTTTACATTAATCTCCATTAACGTCAATTAAGTATCGAATTGGCAATGCAATTTTTTTTTTTTTACTTGCATAATGAAGTATGTCTCCGCATTTCAGCAGGAACCATCATTTGGTACTCTTGTAAGAGGTGAGCATTTTTTTTTAAATGTACATGTACATGTAGATCACACCTTTACTACAAATGCCATTTATCCATCCAAACTAACAGACTTGTAAATACAGTTTGTAAGTGAAGATCAATAACAAATGCTTAAAATGTCTAGCACGACCTACATTGAATAGTGGTAGGTGGTCACATAATTTTGACTAGTTATGAGATGGAAGTACAATGTAAGAGTAACAACAGCAACAGAGATACACTGTAGATGTATAATGATTATGATACTGAATCCAATTCAAGACAAAGTTGAAAGGTATTTTATAAAATTTATACCCTTTTGTATATGATTCCAACATCCTTTCCTCCTTTTCTTCTTTCCTTAGCATCACTGTGAAGTGTGAAAAACAGAAAGTTACCTCTTCGTTCTAGAGACAAAGTCTTCAATGGACGCCACCATGGGTAGTAGAGATCAACCGGAGAAGTTCAGTCACGCTCTTCTGCACCTGCTGGACCAACTACCGGGCTTCGGTGATATCTTTGACGAGGAGAGCTTCTACTGGACCTTCATAGTGTTTGTCCTTTCTACGTTCCTTCTGGCGTACTATCTCTCTCGTAACATCACCATCAAGTCCGTTGACTAGTCGTCATGGACAGCCTCTCGGACAAGCAGGGCTGGAAGAAGAACTTTGACAGTTGACACGGCATGAAGGGGATTCATTATTATTCATAACTGTTGTGCAATAAAAGAACTACAAAATGTGTTTTTATAAACAAACTGATCATTAGAAACTGAATACTGAAAATACTGGCTGAAACTACAGAGAATTGAATGGGCACTTTTGTATTATCATCATAGAACTACAACTTGGATTTGCTCTTCTATATATAGCTGTGATATGGGACTGATCCACATTTTCTACTGACAATTGTGATTTAGATGGGCAATAGAGAAAGACAATATCACAGTACTTCTGCTGCCAACAAGTGGGCGAGAGGTAAGATTTTTTTCTGTTTTTCAAGCATAATTACAATGTAGATGAACAATGTAAACTGCTTTAGAAACGTGATATTAAGCACTAACAGTGTATTTTTATTATCATAATTCTATGATTATATAATTGTAATTCAAGATTATAATTATGATTCCAGAAAGTCATATTTCCAGATGTAAAGATACATTGATTTAACTGCAGTGACAAATATTATATTACTAATTACACATTATATGTGACAAGTATTAACCCAGACACAGAATTTTGGTATTTTGGTAACTGTATTTTAACTCTGAAAACACTAACCCAGGGATGCCATCTCAAAGCGGGAAAATGCTCTGTAACCAGTGGAAAAGCACTAAAATCGCAACTCTTTATCATTAAATTTTGGGCAAAATATTTGAAGTTACTGGTAACTTTTTGTGAGGCTACAGAAAAATGTTTTTTTTCCCTCCCTTTTTTTTTTTTGTTTCCATTTAAAATTATTAAAAAACTTGAATTCGGCGTAAATATTCACAATTGAATGACACACGCCCTTAAAACTAAAGCAACAACAACAACAACAAGCATACATATAATTTTATTTGACATCATGAACTTGTAAGGCTGTGGAGAGTTTAATTCATGAGTTTTGGTTTAGTTTTTATCAATTGATGTTTCAGCCTCGGCCCCCTGGCATTTCAAGAGTCAAAAGAAATAATTGACCTTAATTAAATTGCATATATTGCCATTGTAATGAAAGTTCATATTGCTATCATAATGAAAGTACATATACACTGTAGTTATAAAATCATACCCAAGACCAAGTTTCAGAGAGAATCAGTCTGTCTCAGCAGTTCCGTCTCCATTCCTAGCTCTCTCTGCTGATCTTTGATTGACTTTGGATCATTTTCTTTCCATTCTGGGGGGGGGGGGGGGGGGCATTTCACAAAGATTCTAAGTCAAACTTAACTCTAAGTTGGACTTAACAATTATGGAAGTCCGTTGGCATCTTTGAAAATATTTTGTAAAAAAGTTATTTTAAAAGGCATAAATTGTTGATTCAAATCATTCATATTTTCTATTATCAAGGAGATTTCATGTTCTTGATGTGGGATTTATGAAAAGTCTAAAATACATTTTGAAATTTTGTTTTGATTATATTATTATTATTAAGGCTACAAATGGCTCTCCATAATGTTTAAAGGAAACCAAAACCTTTATACTAAGTTACTTTTATTGTAAAGTTTAAGATATTTGAAAAATATCAGTGAAAATTTGAACAAAATCGGGCAAGGAATAAGGAAGTAAGAGCTTTTTTAAATTACTAGTCACTAGAGGGCGGTATTCAATTTGATGACATCATCTCTGAACAACTCTCCATGCCTTTTGTACATAAAATTTCACAATTTTTTTGTTTTCTGCATATTTATTTGTGTTCTTGATCCGACTTCATAACATGTGAAGTAGAATATCATTTTGCATTCTATATCTTGCTTTCAGGGGAGTCCATTATCTCAATCACAAGAAAGAAGGAAAAACATGAAATTTGATGTACAAAAGGCATGGAGAGTTGTTTACAGATGATGTCATCAAATTGAATACCGCCCTCTAGTGACTAGTAATTTAAAAAAGCTCTTACAACTAGGCGTTGTGGCGTGCGCCTGTAATCCAGCTATCAGTGGAAGTTACAAACTGATTCAGCCGAGAACGCAGGTTCGAAACTGAGTCACGTCTTTCGGATGGTGACGTTAAAAGTCGGTCCCCAGACGTAAATAATCATATCTGATTGATACACGTCTGTAAAAACCCAAATACACACACACACACACTCTTACTTCCTTAATCCTTGCCCGATTTTGTTCAAATTTCCACTGATATTTTTCAAACATCTTAAACTTTACAATAAAAGTAACTTAGTATGAAGGTTTTGGTTTCCTTTAAGTCCAACTTAGAGTTAAGTTCGACTTAGGATCTTTGTGAAACACCCCCTTGCTCTTGATACTCTTTATGTACTATTTGGTAAGAGATGAGGAAGAAGAGAAAACAACAAAAAGAAAGAAATGTTTTGATTTGGAGAAAGTATAATTGAAATGATTGATTGAAATAATTATCACAAGGGAGTATAGAACATACTGTAGATATCCTAAATGGTTCTGATATTTGTTTTGTTTTAGTACACAAATTGTGTTGCTTTCCTTCCAGACACAATTACATCGTATTACCCTTCCCTTAATCAAAATAAGTTAAACTGAGTCTGAATTGTAAACTATTGTTTTAACCTCAATAAGAAAGATAACGAAGGATGAAGAGAAGTCTTCACACTCCAGACTCTGTTCTACCAATCTCCATCAGAAAAATTGATTCTGTAGATCTGTAATCCAGGTTATTTAATGCCTGTACTCAGAGGAGTCATGAATTTACTAACACACATCACTCATGAATAATTCATGTATGCAAATAAGGACTTACCCCCTTTCTCATAATAAGTATCTTGGATACAGAAAGCTGGGGCAGTGAAGCATGAAGCCAAGCTCTCGTGTCTTCTGTACTCTGTACCCACATACTTGAGAAGATCCATTCGCTTCACAGAGCTGTCTTGAGCAACCATTGTCTGCTATCTCATCCCTAAAGCAAACCAATTGATCAGAAGACAATTGTCCATCTTGCTGTTACTGCACTACTGCGGAACCCTTTTGTAAAATTTCTATTGTCCACAAGGTTTTACCCCTGCTGTATAGTGCAGCACATACAACAGTTGCTTGTACTTTGCAGAACATATTGGCATTATCTTGAAGTTGTCTTGTAGCTGTATTGCTCCGATTTGTTGTTAAGCGAAGATACCTCAACGTTTCAGTGGTCTTATTATGTGAGGAAGGCATTTGCACATTTGGTGAGATAAAATAACTATAAAATGTTTGTTATTTGTTTAGCTTCTTGATCTTGATGGTATCGTTATCTTCTGGAATTGTCTCCGGGGAGTTTGTTTTGTTAGATGATTCTGAGCCGTTGTGTGTGTTTTCTCAAGAGTTAATGAGGTGGCAATTTTTATAGTATCATTACATGTAGTTGTACACTTTGATGTGTCCCGCAGCTCGGGATATCTCTATACCAGTATTCATTTTGGTGCGTGTTGCATAACGATTCAATATTCAACATTCAACATTTTTAAGCCTGTGATTGCATCATAAAATCAACTTGTATCTTGAGATATTTGTGAAAATTATTGGAATATGTTGCAAGAAAGTTAAAGACAAGTTTGTCTCTGTGTTTACCAAATTATACAGCATGAAACAGGGTTTGAATGCTGCCATTACTTGCAAATTTATCTATTGCCCTTATAATTATACTTCTCTTTAATAATTTGTTCAAAGCTTGGTTAGCTTTATTGGGATTTGAAGTTTGAACTGAAATCATTCATATCAAATATATTTATATAGTAATAGTATAGTTCTATCTTCATGTCCAGTACATTGTAATACTGTAGTTTGGCTTTAATTAGCATACCATGTTCTTTTACCATACGTGCATATACACAAGTAAATTGTATTACATGTACAACATACAACATACATCATTGTTTGAATGTTTGTTTTTTACTGTTTTTCTTTCTTTCTTTCTTCTTGTAGCTGGACTCTTGACAATGGGAAAGCAGACCAGTAAACTAGCTAAGACCAATCTTGATAACTTGGCAGAAACCACACACTGTAAGTCATCTGCTTTCTTCTACTTTTTTCCTTCTTTTTTTAATTTTGTATTTCTTTTTAAAATTTTAATTTCTGCCTCTTTTGAAGATTGCTCACACTTCCAGTAATTTTGCCTTCAATTGTAGTTAACCTTACAATAATTTAATTAATGCTTTTTTAAATGTTGTCATACATGTATCTGCTAAGTCAACTACAATTTGAAGGCAAATTAATATATTTCATTTCATAAGATGCACACTTTTGTGCACAGCTCTGGAAGTGGTTTAGGTTTAATCTGTTTTGTTTCTTTTCACTAAAAAAGAAAGAAAGAAAGAGTTTGGGATTACTAATGAGTGTGTAAAAAAAAATTGCCCCTAATACAATGTACATGTACATGTATCTTAATATCTTTCCCTTAAAGCTGCTTTTTCAATGATTTTGGTTTACAATGCTTTAGATTTACTTACATCACATGAATTGTAACAATTATAAATGTGTATTGAAAATGTTTATGAAGCTCACATCGAGTGTAACAATTATAAATGTTAATAGTACATTGAAAAATGTTTATGAAGCTCACGCAGCACTGTGTTGTGGGAAACGAACATGGTAACAGACCTCATAATGTTCATACATCTTTGTAATATTAATTTCACATGTGGAAATATATTATTTCAGACTTGTTTTAAACTAAATCTTTATTTCCTTGTAACATTTTGTCCACAGTCAGCGAGAAAGAGATTAGACAATGGTGAGTAGAATTTAAAATCATTCAAAGAACAACATGAACAAAAATAAAAGATAGAATTCCCGGTATTTAACCTTTTATTTTATCCAAAGCTTTTTTCCTGTAAAATCCTAGAATATCATCAGTTGTTCATGAAATTCTCAAATGATGAATGAGGAAAGTTACCACTGTACATATTAACAATAACAATATACTACATGTTATGTCATCGGCTTCTACAGCATTTTATAATTATAATTTCTTCCTTGGAAGAAAATGAAAATATATTATGAACAAAATAAATGTAAAGTATTGTGATATACTTGTGTGTACAAATTACCAATCTGAGTTTTTTTTTAAGTATAATAACTATATATTTCCTTCCTGCAATAGTAAACTGCTGGGTTCCTAACTATCCTGAAAGTTAGAGGAAAACTGGAAATTTAGTGTCCACTTAATTATTGTTAGGGTAGCTTGTTGGTCAAGCCCTATGGCAGTGATATCTCACCTTTGAAATCTTGTTTCTTTTTTGTATTATAGGCATGAAGGGTTTACAAGAGATTGTCCAAACGGAACATTGAATAGACAAGTAAGTAGAAGAAAAGAAGAAGAAGAAAAAAGGGGAAAAAAGAAGAAGAAGAAAAAAAGGGGGAAAAAAAGAAGAATAAAAAGAATTTAAAAAAAAAAATCAAATTTGTAGAGTGTATTCCATCATCTGAATGCTGTAGACCACATTACAGGCAATAAGCTTGCCCAAGACCTGCTTTGTATTATTACAGGTGATGTCTTCAACCAGTATTCTGACTTCTGATACATCATGTGGGCCCTGTCTTACAAAGAATTGATATCAATCGCAACTATGTACATGTACATAGAGATATGACACTGCAAACTTGCGATTGATTGGAGGACTTGCGATTGATTTGGATCAATCATAACTCTTTGTAAGACGGGGCCCAGTAGCTCATTTAGTCTTTTGCATGGAAAGGATCATGCATGACATCTAAATATGTACTTGTTAGGTTTATATAGCATGCCAATTTTAGCTGCTCCATATTGAAAATATAGATTATAGCTCGTAACATGTCTCTTGTATTGGAAAGGATCATGCATGACATTTAAATGTACTTGTTAGGTTTAGCCGCTCTGATTTTTCTTTTTCAGCATACATTTACACAATGACTGTATGGTACCCCCTTATTTTTTAAATTTGTCTTTATCAGGTATTCTTCCTTCCATTTAGTTATCTCTCGTAAAAGTAACATTTATTTTTCAGTAATTATATGTTTCAGACCATTTTGGGGGTAATGTATTCACCTTATCAACTATTGCATCGTCAGCATTGTTTTATTGTCTTTTCATTTGTATGATGAAAAATTTGAAAGAAAATTGAATTTACTTCAGAATCCTGTAATAATGAAGTGGTATATGTACACTCTTTTATTATTTCTAGGAATTTCTGGAAATTTACAAGCAGTTCTTTCCATTCGGGGATGCCACCAAGTTTGCTTCATATGTCTTTGATGTCTTTGACGAGAATGGGGTGAGTCGATGTCGGTGTCTCATAGAGGAATACATTGTACCTTCTATTGGCTTACACTTGTACATTTAAAGGGGGTGGGTCATCAGTTTACATGTGCAGAAGGTACTGATTTACTGACACAAGCTGCCGTTCCGTTCGACGACGCGATTGAGCAAGTGCGCAGCTGCAGAAAATGCCCTAATGAATATTCACACTATACAGCCAGTGCGTGGCTAACAAATTGCAGTGAGAACAGCTTGAATTTTGATATCCCGGGACAGGCATTTAGTACGAGACTAAAACAGCGTGTGTTAAAAGCAAAAAAAGTTAGTCCGGGGTTAAGGATAGTACGGGGCTAAGCAAAATACGGGGCTAAGCAAAACAAGTGTGAAAAGAGTATGTGTCTTAAAATGGTATCCTTATTTGTGAACTATAGAAATATGTATACTCTTATTTTGATACTTAGGCATCAATCTAAACATTTGGATTTTCGTTTCACTGCTCATGATGGTAGTTTTATAGGATTCAGTCAAATGTTGAAAGATTATTTTCTTTAGAAGAAAAAAAATGCAGAATTTTTATTTTTATTTTTCTTCAGCATTTCTATGATTTGACAGATAATGTCATTTTCGGAGGGCAGTGTTCTAAGGTTTTGGGTCTACAAACAGTCAAACAGAAGAATCCTGAAAGTATATTGACATAGAAAAAAAAGCTAGAGGTTGGAAACCAGCTCCTGTGAATCCCTTAATTAACCGCACAAACAGAACACTTCAGAGACACACAATCAACAACAAAAGAGTAATTGAAAACTCCAAAGAGTTCAAGATAATAAACCTGCGCTGCTATGGACAACCAATCTGGTTGCTAGGCGACTATGGTCTTTGTGAAGACCATACCCTGGTTACAGTAGATTTGCTGTCTGAAGAGTGTAGACATTTATCTTCTCAAGTGATTGTTATTATTGAGCGCTGTTACAATCACAGCCCAGACAAGTGTCTCACAAGGCTGTCTTACATGTATGTCGCCTTATTAAACAGTTAAGTGTCTCTTGAACTTTTATGGGGGTGTGTGTATCATGGATATACAGTACATGTAAAAGTTAGGTGTGGTTTTTATGAAATGAGAAAACTTTGATTCATAATACTAGATTTTAAGTTGACCTCTCTAGTGTCACTTTGAAAAGGTTGATTGTCTCTCAAGTTGTGTGTGTGTGGGAGGGGGGGGGGGTGTCATGGGTGTAGGTTTGTTCTTTTTATGAAATGAGAAAACTGTACTTAACGCTAGATTTTAAGTTCGTCTATGTAGTGTCACCATGAAGAAGGGAGTTTCAGGGGCATTCTGTCATTTATATTACAAAAATAAGTACACAAGTAACCAAAACAAAGGTATTATTTCGTTAGAGGTTCTTCACCTGACCTGAATATAAAGCTGTTTTTCGGTAAAATGTGTTACATTGTCCATGAAAATTTACAAGGTGTTAATTTTTTTGAAAGTGAAATATTCTATGTGCTTCTTTCCCATTAATTATCATTTGTTGTGACTTCATGAGCTTTATAAAAATGTAAAAGAGACATATTTATTTTGATTGTTTTTTTTGTTTAACCAGGACGAGGAGATTGAATTTGAGGAGTTCATCCAAGCTCTATCTGTTACATCAAGAGGGAACATTGATGAAAAACTAAATTGTAAGTTCATATTCAAACATGCTGCTCTATTCTAAGTATTCATGTACAATGACAATTACATTTTAATTTCCAGCCTATCAAAAGGGGAGAAGCCCTTATCCCTGTTTGCCTGTATTAAAAATTAATTTGATTCAACGATGCTTGTAAGTAAATTGTACTTACTAATTCCCTTTTCAATTGAAAAAAATAATTTTGTTTGATTTTTTTGGACATGAAGTTGAACAAATGACCGGATACTTGCAAATGTAAACTAGATACAATATTGTGTGTGTCTTTGTGTGCATTATTATTTTTTCTTTCTCTCTCTTCAAAGTACACTAAATGCTTTTTCAGATACGATGCGGTATTACGGTCACATGAAGAAAAAAAACTGTGTTTTTACTTGTGAATGAATGGCAACTATGTGCAACAAAGGTCCCACGCACGCATACTCACTTTATTAGCTCTGTGTTATAAGATGCAGAAATGTGAAGCATATTATATAACACTTTAATATGTCATCATTAAAAAATATTAAAAAGAAGCAGTTTACCCCTTCATATCTGAACGAGGAAAGCAAAATGTTTATGGCCACCTGACATGGTATGATTTATCTTGGAGTGTGCGGCAAGTCCTTGTTTTACTCTAAGTGCTACAGTTTACCCTTTCGCAACAATTATTCCACATTTTGTTGTTTGGCTCAATAACTTTTAGATTCAGAGCCCTACAAAATATACCAGATACACGAGTAGAAAGGACAAAAACTGATGCATAATGTATCCATTTTTGTTTCATGATTATATTGAATTTGTTGCTAAGAATTAAACAAAAAATGGAAAATATCTTTTAAAATCCTTAAATTGGCAACAGGTTGAAGGATTTAAATCAGTGTTCTTCAATCAAAACTGACAATTTTTTAAATATTTCGACAACATTCTTGCCTGTGTATATTGTTTTCAAAGACATTGCATTATAATCTAGCATTCTACTGATGAAAGAAAAATATTTTTGTTGCCAATTTAAAGAACAATATGTGATCAATTTAGCCCTGTCCAAATAAATCCTGTCCTGAAAGGGTTAAACTCACTGATTGTGAGTTTTAAAGATAAACTGGAGTTCTGGTAAAAAAAAAAGAAAATGAATTCTCACAGAATCAAACAAAACTTGCACTGAATGTTCAAGATTACAAATAAATGGCATGTGCCAAACAATTTTGGAAGAAAATGTATACCAGCTGAGTAATGAGCATAGAAAGATAAGGAAATCAATATAGTAGCCCTGACACCATTTGTGTAGTCCCATTTATATCTTTCTGTGTACAGTGCTTGTTACTTTACCAAGACTGGGCCAAATTTATTATGATTTTGATGACTCCAGAACCTTGCAGTACACACCAATACTTACATGCTACATGATCCTTTTTCTGATCCATTCCACACCTTTTCTTTCACAATGCAATCGCATTACCAGAACTCACCTTTATCTTTAAATATTTCGACAACATTCTTGCCTATATACATGTATATTGTTTTCTAAGACATTGCATCATTCTATTCTATCATTCTAGCGATGAAAACAAAAATATTATTGTTGCCAATTTGAAAAACAATATGTGATCAATCACTGATTGTGTTTTATCGTTTACGTTTCAGGGGCATTTCGTCTGTATGACCTTGATGGAGATGGTACGATCACCAGACGAGAGATGCTGAGCATCGTAGAGGCTATCTATCAGATGGTGGGCAACATGGTGCAGCTTCCAGAGGATGAGAATACACCGGAGAAGAGGGTCGACAAGATATTTGCTCTCATGGACAAGGTACAGTCAAACCTGCTTTAGTGACCACCTGTATAGAAAGACCGTCTGTATAGAAAGACCACCTGTATAGAAAGACCCCCTGTATAGAAAGACCACATTTTTTGTTTCCTTTGAAAACAGTTCTTTAGACATGTACTAAAGGAACCTGTACATAAAGACCACCTGCCTATAAAGACCACTTTTCATGTCTCCCTTGGGTGGTCTTTATAGACAGGTTTCACTGTATACCATTATAAACAGAGTGCTACGTTTTATTGTAGATGCGATGGCTCAGTGATAGAGCCGTGATCTCGTAACCGGGAGGTCCCGGGTTTGAAACCAAGTCGATGCGCTAATGCCCTTTGGTAAGGCATTAATCCTGATTACCAAGTCCCTCTGAGAGGACTTAAAGCCGTCGGTTCCCTTGTTGCTTAACTTAAAAACCTGCACATACTTTCTTAGCAGTCAGGGAAAACAAACAATCAAACAAACCAAACTTAAAACCAAATTGTTATTAGTAGAGGTGTCATGGTCTAATGGATATGTTACTGGACTGTGGATCATGAGGTTCGTGGGCCAAGTCCCAACCATTGCATTGAGGTCTTTTGGCAAGACATTTATCTACTATTGCCACTCTACACCCAGGCTAAAAAGGAAGTTATTTCTCTTCCGAGCTTTGCAACTAAGCCTAATTACAGGATGAACATGTTGATTCAATTTGCATATGTTTTAATGTATAAATCTGATACTGGGTATATGGATGTATGTTCAGTAGTAGGGACTTTTAGATTTGCACATCGACATAGTGAACTGCTACTTTTAATGCACTGGCAGTGCCTTTAAAGGATGCAGCAGTCCACTATGTCTACGTGCAAATCTAAAAGTCCCTAATAATGTGTGTGTGCCAGTTGGTTGTGTCTTCACCATACACAATGCCTGGAGTTTCTTGTATTGTTCATGGTAAATCATACAGGACCAGATGGCCCTTTGCAGCTAAGTTGGACACGACCATTACTGCGGAACGTCCTTAATCTATGTCCAGATTAACTAGGTTGTTGTCACATTACAATGAGCTGCCTTATAAGCAATTCAGAGGGCTGAATTAAACACCCTATCTGAGGGACGTATGTAATGTTTTCTCTTTTATTCTCTCTCTCTCATTTACGTTTCCAGAATCGAGACAATCAGATATCCAAAGAAGAGTTTTTGGACGGCTCCAGGAAGGACCCGTCCATCGTCCAAGCTCTATCCCTCTACGATGGACTGGTGTGAGCAAACCCAGAACCTTACCATCATTTCATCACAAGAGGGTATCCCGTACAGCGTACTTTTAAACATTCCTTGTTGCTCATCAAGTTCAGCAGAATCATCAGGTGCTATCGTTATATTTCCAAAGCATACCGTTAATAGAAAGGGTTGTGGGAATCATTTTCCAGAATTCATTCTAAGTGGTGCATGGAATTTACATTCTTTGATCGCCAAAGGGGATACTTCTGTACACAGTAATATCATTTTACCATGTGTTTTCTCCTGTGCATTCAAAGTTTGCACAATCAAAGAAGTGTTAAATACTTCATGTTAACAGTTTCAAGCAGAAAGGGCGTACAAAACAATATTTCATCATGTGTCTTATCTATTCAGTTTTTATTACTGAAGTAATTACAATATCACTGTGAATAATTTGGTTGGTGAACGGTCTGGTCTGTTGCATGAATGTTTTTGTGATTGTAAGCATTGTAAATCACATTGAGAGGTCTAACAATCCCGAAATGAATCAAGAATCGAAGAACGCTTTCTATTTATTAGTAATATACAGTACTCAAAAGAGGGTGGAAACTCTGGAATGTGTTATTCTTTAAAAAAAATCATCACCGCATCCATCCACACTTTTCTGCCACGTATGCAAAGAAGTTCCATGAGCTCAGTTATGCCATGTACATGTGGCTCATATGAAAGAGTCCATAAGATAAAAGCCAGTAGACAATATGCCTATTTCTTTTAGTTTCAAGCAAAATGAAGCTTTGTTTTCTTTCCGAAAGTAAACATGTCAGTGCTCATCAAGTGTTTAGAGAGTTGTCAAAGACTATTATTATCAAACCAATTGATTTAATAGATTTGATATGTATTGCTAGTTTGTAGTTTTAGATGTTTAAAAAAACATTGAAAGTCCCAACTAGACTAATAATCAGTTCATAGCTGTTTTATATTTGAATCATATAAACTCTTCTGTCTTTGATTTGAAGAAAACAAATTCTGCAGGGTAGTCCGGCAGCCAAATCCAGATTATTGGCCTAACCTTGTTTTAGGGTCTATAGTTTTTTTTTCAATGGATTTTGATTGCCTAGACCTTCTATTTCAAGAATCCGATTGCTGACACTCTGTCAGCCTTGAGCAATTTAAGATATATGACGTCATACAAAATGGCCGCCAAAGCACATGATTTTCCTTTAAAAATGAATAATTAATATATAATAAGGATTTTTTTCTACAATTTTTGGCAGCCAAATGTCTGTATCTATCTAGGACCATCACTAAAAAAATGTTTCGTGATGTTGCATGGCCATAGATGACCAGCTGATTTGCATATTTTGAAATAGCGCCCTCTATAAACATATTAATTTGAATAAAATATGTGTGCCAGCCAAATGCCAATTTCTTAAATCTATGTCACGTTGAAATCATATTAAATGCTTTTTGGGGCAACAATTGCAGTTGTGCTGCATTAATCTTTCATCGTGTTTGGTACAAAGTTAGATAGGGTAGGTGTGGGGAATGGAAGACCCTTAGGCACATTTGCATAATTTACATAAACATGAACAATGTTACACATACAGATATTTTTGTATTCTCTTTAGTATTTTTTCTCTTTATTTGGTAACGAAATTGTCGTCATGATGTAACTGATTAATAAGATAACAATGATTAATAAGGGACCGTTACAAATCAAGACATTTTAAATAAAATTTGAATGAAAATGGGATTGTTATAGTTAGTTCAAACACTTTTTGAAAGAGATACATGCAGCCAATGAACTTATTGTAATTTTGAAACGATTTTAAAACAATGTGGCCCAAAATATTTCTGTAGTTTTTTGTTTACAGTAATAAAGGTGCTCTCAATTATGTTAAAAATACTTTCAGAATAATGTTCTGGCAATTTGACTTTTACATTGATCAAACTCACAGCATAGAAACAACTTCTTAAAATTAAATGCATTCAAATTAGAATGGTGACACGTACAACCAAATATGTTTCATGATAGTGCCTTTCAACATGAAATGGACAACTGGGGAGAAGTAGGCTCCCATCTTGGACCTGGTGTCCCCCATTACCTACACACATTTCTGATCAGACACCATTCATAATGTGAATTGCAACACTCATTCACAACACACAATGGCCATAAGCTTTCTGTGATGGTTGGCACATTTCATAAACTTCCTTTTAAAACTAATTTTTAAGAGCCATCCCTAAATATCTGCATACACCACAACATTCAGTGAAAATTGTGTTTTTATATCAGAGCAAAATGTTACGATCAAAATTGCTTATCTTGGTCAATCATTTTGCCAATTTTCTCGGAGAGAGAACGCATTGTACTCTTCGAAATGAATTGGATATATGCAGTAGTGTTGTTGAAGGCCACATATGTCGCTATATCAATATTGGAGCCAACACGGACATACAGTGGTGGGTTCAAGCTTGGTGGTCTCCAATTCCCTACACCTACCCTACATATGTCAAGGAAAAAATGGCTATGAAAGAATTCATTTTTCATCAAATCGGTGAGAAGTGGTTTTACGGCACACATTATTATTCAATAGGCTTTATTTAGACCAGCATTGCTCCAACGTCAGTGAATGTGGATAAAGCAGTTGACACCTATACTAGACTGATGCATGATTTTCAAAAGAAATTACCTGGTGGATTCTATGACACAAATTCAAAGAGAGTTCAAACCGTGGCAGCCATGAAGAAGTCAATGTTGGGGTACGAAAGTCTATGAAAAGTAGATCTACTCCAGAGTAATAGTTCAAGAGAGGTCAATGTCAAGGACATTTTGTCATAAGAGCTTTCACCAGTCCCAACAGCAATTTTTGATGATTCTGGAAACGAGCACTCCCATGTCAAAGACGGACTTATAGAATTTGACAAAAGTAGAGATGTCAGTCAGGCATGAGACACTGGAACAACCTTGTACAGTCATTGATGGTTGTGCTCTGCTGTGGATGAAAATCTGATGATGTTTGCTTAGTGTTTGACAGATCCGAGAGTATCTAGAGGTCATAACGGGTCGAGAGTCTTCCAACTGAGACCCGCGTCACTGCTGCCCTCCAAGAAACTATCTCTTACTGTTCGTCGTCGTCGTTGTCATATATTGATCATGGCTCACCCTTGTGACCCGTTTGATGAGACCTTTTGATTGGCATCTGTCTCCTGCAATCCGGTAGAGTGTCTTTAGTATTTAGAGGGTGGCTAATGATTTCCCTAAGGTCGTCAGTCCATCTGAGCTTGAGTCTTCCTTTGTTACGTGTTCCTTCAAAGGTACCTTGAATGATAATTTGTCAAGGTTGTCTCCTGATCTTCTGCTAACGTGACCAAACTATTGTAGCTTGTACTTGTCAATCCTGGTAGCAAGTGGCGGTTGATCTCCGACGATGAACATTAATTGTGTCCATTGGTGTTGTAATCTCTTCATGATATCCCAAGTAGCTTCCTCCAACACCACATTTCAAAGGCAGATATTGCCGAGCTTCCACCCTCCTTGACAATTATTGACCCAAGAACATTATATAAACTTGTCCACTTGATCAACTTCTTCTCCACCAACCACCATGCTCTGTTGCATGTAGTCAATTTTCACCAATCATGATCTTGGTCTTTTTCACATTGAGGTAGGGTCCAAATTATTCAATTGCATCCTTAACTCTTTTTAAGGAGTTCTAGTAGTTCTTCTGATGTTCTTGTTATAAGTGTTGTCAGTGGCATACTGAGCAAAAACACTTAGAGGGGCAGAAAAACAATCTGCATCACCACCACTCATACATGTTACATGCAGGCCCCGCGGAACTTTTTAAAGCGGGGTGGGAATGGGATGAAGTATTTACGATCAGGAAGAGAGGAGCGCAAATTGGCGTGGTGTTCAAGGGTCACAGCCCCCGGAAGCTCAAGGGTTTCAGGCATTTATTAACTGTAAGATGAACATATTTTGATACCTCATTTCACCTCGGGTCACTTTCTTTCTTTCTTTCTAGTTCTCTTTAACATACTTTATACAACAAGTGAGGGGGCTCGAGTCCCCTGAGCCCCGCTGTTCTGCGGACCCTGACATGTAGGCTTTTAAATAAGCATATTTTTTGCTTGACTGTGAATTTAGGATTTGTCAGTTTCTAACATACGCTTAACAAATAATAATTTACTAAAAAGTGAGAAAAAACCCAGGAACATTATGTCATTTCAGCAACATTTGTAAATCACTGGTATCGAACATATAGAAAAAAACAGTTTGAATTTTGTTTGGGGGTTCAACTGTCCCCCCCCCCCCCAACCCTTCCCCATCAATACGCCAGAGAGTGTTGTATTGTTGGCGTATCTTAGGTTGGTGATCGTTCGTCCACCAACAGAAACTTGACCATAAAATGCCTTTCTCATGATGAATTCAGCATAGATGTTGAAAAGTTATGGTGATAGGATGCAGCCTTGACGGACAACTTGACCAATAGTGAACCTTTCGGTGTAGCCATTCTTTGTTCTTACTGTTGCTTCTTGGTATTGGTAGAGCGACTGGATGAGTTGAATTATATGTGCTGGAAAGCCCATCTAGCTCATAATCTTCCATAGGCGTTTATGTTGTCCGCAGTCAAAAGTTTTTCAAAGATCAATAAAGCTAGGGAGAGAAGTTGTTGAAACGTGTCTCTCGTGTTGCTAACTTCACTATCTTTTAATGACAACAAACTACAGTTGATCGACATCATAAATATATGCGCGAGTCTGCAGGATGATTGGGTGCTCAGAAATAGGCAAAAGCACAAGCAGGTCATTACCGTCAAGATGAGGTTCCTGTTGAAGTGATTCCAGGCAGTGATGTCATGCCAAGGAAAGGTCTGTCCACAACATAGTTATGATGAAGCAGGCAACATCAAAGTACAGCAAGCAATTTGAATTGATGCTAATGAGAAGATGTATGTTAGGGTCCTAGTGGATGACATAGACGTCTACGTACTACTTTTGCATCATTATCTACATGACGGACTTATAAAACGCCAATGACCATGGAGACGCCCCTCCACAAATCGAACTGTTATTGATGTTCCTGCCAATGTAGACAAGTTAGGAGATATCATTCCATCGATGTTGGCAGGACATGCGTTGACGGGATGCGACACTCTTGGGGCATACTTTGGCATTGGATAGGGTACAATGCTGAAAGTGATGAAGCAGAAGTTTCGACTCCCTTAGGACTCAGTTGGCAATGTTGATGCAGCATGGTCATATGTCATCACTCAACCTACTCAATGCTTTGCTTCATGTTATGGACAGTCAACAACCAACTGAATGTCAGAGGCTCTTATCAACGTGTGGCTATCAAGGGTCCGAAGACTAGGAGCTCCAAATACCCCAAACCTTGCCTCACTACCTCAAACTACTGAAGCGTTTGTAGAAAATGTTAAGAGAGCTCATTTGCAAACATGCGTGTGGAAGCACGCATTTCAGTCACGACCTCACTTTGCAGAATTAAGTGTTAAATGACACCCTCTTCCGCATTGAAAAATGTTAGGGTTCCCAACACTTTAGAGGGCTTTTAAACAAATTTCAAGATTTTGAAGCAAACTTACATGTATAAACGGATATAGTC